AGGCACCGTCTGGGCATGGGGCAAGCTGAAGCACAAAGATCTGGACTGCTTGAATGGAATGGTGCAGGCCATCCCTCTGAAGGTGCACGACTTCACGACGAGAGCTCCATGGCCAAAGCTCCACCTTTTGATTTGTGCCTCTCTTTCTGTGCTCTCGGGTTGCTGGGACCCTATGCAGCGCATGTGGGTGGAGATCAGCAGGGAGCGAATGCGGTCTTTGCGAGGCGAGGCTGCTTGGAAGAGTGTTCAAACACACCTGGTCTTGTTGCATAAACCACGACTGCGTCTAGGAACAGCCGCCAGCGATCGACCGAAGCACTCGGCTCGATCGCCGCGTATGAGTCTGACCTGCCACCCCGCGACATTAGCGCAATGTGGAGAGAAAAGCATGCGGTCTGGCAGAGCATCTCTACCCCACTGCCAATGAACAGACTTGCTTGCCGATTGTCGAATCTGATGATCTAATGTGATACATTCCATTTCGTTTAAGCAGCACCATCACTTGTGCTTAGCATGCAGCTTCAGGATGTGTCAAACGTGCTCTACGGATTTGGCCTTCTTCGCCATAGACCAGTTCGGGTTGCGCTGATGCTAATTGACACTCTGCCTCCGAGGATGCTGGACTGTAGCAGTCAGACCATGGCAAACACTGCGTATGCCCTGGCCTTGTTAAATTTCAAGAGCGAGAGCTTCTGGCGAGCGCTTGCAGAGCACGCGCCGCAGCAGGTCCATCGTTTCAAAGCACAAGAACTGGCGATTCTTCTTTATTCATGTGGGCTGGTTCGCGCTCGACATGATCAGTTGTTGCAGGCTTCATGTGAGAACGCACGACTACGGCTGCATGAATTCAGTCCTCAAAATATCTCGAACATGGTCTATGCGCTTGGCCTGCTTCGATTTGTGGATGCATCATTTCTGGAGGCCGCATGCCACGTTGCATCAGAGAGCTTCGAAATGTTCACGGCGCAAGGCATATCGAACATGACATACTCGTTGCTCGCTGACGTTGGCATGATTTTCTACTAGATCCTTTGTCCTTTGGCCATAAAATGCAGCATAAACTCAAAGATGGTGCTACAGGCTTGGTCTCTTAGCTTTTTCCATGGATGCCTTTCTGAAGCGTCTCTGCCTCGACTTGCCAAAGCGAGCCTGGGAGCGCCTCGCCATACATCTCAGAATCTTTCCATGACACGGACGGCACAGCTAAAAGAGAATTCTGTGACTCCGACTCCCGAGAGGCTCTCTCCACAGCATCTCGGAAACATCGCCTTCGCCCTCAACCGACTCTGCAGGGGGCGATCTGTTGTACTTCGCTCTCGCGTGCCGTTTGCGAGTACTGAGAACAGAGAAGGCAACGAGCATCTTTGTTCCTTGCCTCGGCCCAACGTTTTTTTCAGCCTTCCCCTTCGGTCAGTGTGTGAGTGAATCAGGGCGTCTGCCATCGTCTTTTGCGAACACCAGTTTAGAACATGTTGGAGAAGGGAGCTTTTGAGCTTTTGCTCTGGGCTTTGTTTCGGCCATTTTCGGCCGTTGGGCCTTCCAGGAGTCTACCCACTTGATTCTTGCGCGACACTGTGGCAGCGTGATGAGTTTGAGCTCTGGATGAGGTCGCAGCTGCTCTTGGCCCGCGATGTGCCTTCCACCTCCAACCTAAAACATAAGTACATCACAGCAGGTGCTTGTCAGTTTTTGTATCTGCTTGCCACCAAGCACAGCTCTCACAGCACGCATGGCCTCCCCAGCTGAGCGAACAAGCCATGGATATCAGGACGAGCGCAGCAAGGAGCAGCATCTGTTGGACAGCCTGCGAATACGGAATCCGCGCGCCTGGATGGCAGTAACAAATAACCAGGGCACATTGATGCCCCGATCCTTATTGAAACTTTGCAAGAACCAGGCAGTGCAACTTGGGAGTCAGGATGCCGAGCACCTTCTGCAGGCTCTACTGGATTCCGAACTGCAGCAAAGCGACAACCCAGCTGGTACATCGAAGCCATTCTCACCGACAGACTCCAAGTCTCTGAAAACCCAATTTGCACAACTCTGCCGGCAGTTTGCTTCCGGGAAACAGTGCTTGACCTATGAAGAATGGCTCAACTGGGATGAGTTAGATGGTTGCAGGGGCACAGGTGGCAGCATAAGCACAGAAGGTGCTCGAAGTCTATGGCTCAGATTGGTCGGTGACGGCAACTCAGCCAATGAGACGGATTTCGTGCGGCTTGCTCAGGTGATGCAGCAGGAGTGTGGACTTGCAACAACGATTCAGTCCTTTATCCGCGGAAGTGTAGGTCGCCGCACAGCCCGGCACCAGGCAGACGCTTGCCACAACCAGAGCACTTGCCTAGAGGCTGTGAAACTGGCACCCTATAATCCGACGCCAGACTGCGCCATAAAGCAGGTGTTGGATACCCTTGAAGTGCAGAGTGGAGACACGCTCTTTGATCTAGGATGTGGAGATGGGCGAATGCTCTTAGCAGCAGCCAGGCGAGGGGCTCGAGCAGTGGGAGTCGAATATGATACCCGCTTTGCAGAAAAGGCCTCGGAAGCCATCCGGGAAGCGAAGCTCGAGAGCTTGGCCAAAGTGATCTGCGGTGATGCGCTGAAGGCGAACCTGTCAGAGGCAACGAAGATCTTCGTATACCTGGTTCCTGACGGATTGCGTCGGATGAATGCTGCCCTGTCGGATGCAAGCCAGCGGGGTGTTCCTATCGCCAGCTATCTATTCTCTTTGCCGGGCTGGAGTCCACATGCAGTGCTTACAGCTGAAAGTCGCGGTGCAGAATGCAAGGTTTGGATTTACCGCAACTCTGCAGCTTTGCCGCTTCTTGGGAGCGAAAGCGAGCAGCCTGCGCTGCAAAATTGTGGGTTTTTGCATGTTGAGCTTGGGCAAGTGTAATGTGTCTATAGAGTAAGCTGCGTTGCTGCTAGCTGTTTACGTCATGTCAGAGCTGGGTCGGATGGTACCATGTGGTGTGGTAGCGTTTGGAGCCAGCTTCTCGAAGGCTTATCTGTGGTATGAAGTTATGTAGTTTGAACGTGAGCGGTCTTGAAGGAGCGGCCCAAAAGCATGCTGTCTTGCCAGATGCGTTTTGTTCAAGAATAGGAAGGGCCCACGTTGACTGCGCTCCTTGGCCTCTTCTGCACAGCTTCTGAGCTGCAAGCAAGTCGAGGGAGCGGCGGCTAATATGTCTTACTCTGGAGTAGGGCGACTCTTACAGCAGAGCAGCCTTGCTTGCAATCGTTTCTCTCTTGCAAGCTTGTCTCACGGCGTCTCCTGTCAATTCCATGTGCTTGTGCACCATGCACCATGAGGGCTCACCTTGCTCACTTCATAGATCTCTGCTTTGCTGCGAATGATGGTCTCCGGGCACAGGCAACGGCAAAGTCTTTTGCTTGTCGAGAGCCGGGCGCATAGCAAGAGTTACGGCACATTCTTGTCTGCAGGCAATTAGATGCACCTTTCGGGATAGCATGTGGCTCTGCCAGCTGTTTTAAACCACCCAGCATTTGATGTGTGAGGCCAGCTGGGCCTGCGTGTGGACATGGGTTGCAATACCAGCCTGCACCTTGCATGCTCCGGCCGCGATTTTCCTTCACATTTCCCTGGAATGAGGCAGCACAGCTGCCAGTTCATCAGCTGGGATCTTATGCTTGTGGCTCCCGTTGACAAGGCCTTGCTTGCAGTGCAAAGCATGAACTGCACAACTTAGCAGGCCAGTACAAAAGATGGGAAAACCACTGGCAATGCACAGGATAAGCAGCAGGCACGGGGCACATCATGCACGAATCAAAGTACACATTTGGGCTGTCTTCGTTTCGATGGAAGGCAAAGGAAGAAAACAAACAGTATCAGGCCGGCAGGAGGTCTTTTTCGACATTCGCTTCCGGTCCTCAGTTCGGTCTTCAGTTCGCACTGCAGGCGACCATGTCCTTCTTGTCGCAAGTCCCGCTCTTCATGAGACTGCCAAAGGACAGGGAAGCCTGAAGAAACATCTCTGAAGTCTCTCCTAGACTTCGTTGTGTGCGAGGACCAGCATCCTATCTTGGCAGCTGCCTGTGTAAACCAGCCGTCCACTGCTTAACTTCTGCGAAGCAACGTCTGTGAAATATCCGTTTCCAGTGCTTGGCAATGGTTGCTCACTCCACTTCATCGATCAGGTTCAAGGCAGGTCAGACAATCATTACACAGGCTGGGTCGATGCACCTTGAGTTGAGAGGTGAGCCTGAACGATCCTGTCTCGATGAAATTTGCAGGGTGAAGTGGGCAGAGAATTCTTCATCATCCAGTCTGGAGAGGCTGAGGCACGCATAACTTTGCATCGCTGTGCAGCTGCAGCTCACCTTTGTTCTGTTGCAGTTTCAGAACATCGGTCGCAGGTGCTGGTCGGTGAACCGGGTAGTCAGAAGAAGGCGAGGCTGCGCAGCACTGTCACAAAAAATCACTCACCCCCCACGCCAAGGTCGCCGCCCTGAAGCAGGGTGACTATTTCGGAGAAAACGCCTTGCTTCGAAACGAGCCCCGCTCTGCTACGATCAAGGCCGAAGTGAATTGCAGAGTTCGGAGAATGCTAACCCGTCCAGATGGGCAGACTTCTGACGCTCACGTTCAAATCATGAGCAACTCGTGCGACTGACTCAAGTACCATGTCTCCAGGCGGTGACAGAAATCAGGACTCTGAAGATTACTCAGGAGAAGTTCCAGGCTCCACCGCGAACGCTTGGAATCTTCCTGGCCAGGATTCGCACTACACTTGTCACTTGCAACAGGACCTCGGTCTGAACGAAAAGATCCAGTTTGCCAACAGAAAAGCAGTGGGTGCTGGAGGCAAGAGGCAGCTGGTGGCCCGGAGCTCATCAAGTCTTGCAGACAGAAATAAACGAGTTTCAAGTGGCAACAAAGGTACAGGCGCCCACAGAAAAGAACACGGATGAGCGGCAGCTTATGGAGAAAGCGCAAGCAGCTTATGTTGGCTAGTGTCAGCGAAGTCCCTTCGAAACAAACGGTAGCTCTATGTTGGTATGAGGCTCAAGAAGAACGAGAACATCCAGACAATGGTGAAACTAGACGAGCTCCCGGCTCAGCCGAGAAGAGCCACCTTGCCTGCTGGGTATCGGAATTGCATTGTGCAATCTTGCAATGCTGTGCAGGATCCGGGTAAAGCAGATCATTGACATTGCCTGGAAGGAGCCGAGAGCTCAACTGGGCTTCCTCACACGGCCGAGTGGCCTTGCTACTTACCACTGGATTCACTGGATGCCGTGACCAAGGAATGTGCCTAGCGGGAGGGAAATTATCTCCGAAGGCGTCCCCATGTTGTCAGCAAACTTGACTGTTAGGCCTGGCGCCGTAGCTGTTCCGAAAAATCCAGAGTTATCGCGACGGAATTGAGGCGCTTTGTCGCTTGACTCATATTGTAGCTCCTCGAACTGTTCCGTAGGGATTGCACAAGGACATAAGGTTCCATTTTTTGCAACAAGAATTCAGACCGTGTGCAATCCTTAGCGCACCCTGAGTCGCTCGTCAGGTGATTTGATTGCCGATTACTTCTATGCAGTTGGCCCAGTCTGAGTTGACAGTTCCCGTCAAACACAGCAGCAAGGGGTCGCTGGTCAACCGGCTCTGCACTGAGATCTGCCAGACGGGGACATTTGAGATTTTTGTTGCGGACACCAAAAAGGGTGGCGAAGGGTGTCGGCCTCAGCCATTCAAAAGGGTTTGAAACGATATACTTTTTGCCCGAATCGGGAACGGACTCTCTGCAATTCCGTTCTCCAGGAAGCGCAAGCTGGTGCAAACTGTGACAGCCGGTGGAAGCTTTGGCGTCACTCGTCGACAGCACTTCACATGTCAGACAAATCAATCTGCATGTGCAGTGTGTGTGTGTGTGTGCGCTTGTGTGGTTTTTGCAGGAGCTAGCACTGCTCTACCTAGTGCCGCGGGCAGCCACGGTCATTGCGAAGGCTTGGCCTTTTATGCGAACGTGCTTTTACGACGTTACGACACGTTGCGGATGTCAGGAAGACTCCTCAGTTTGGGTCATCGATCGCAAGAACTTCAAAGACATCCTGATGAAGGTCCTGCGACGTGTGATTTGCAGGACATACAGATAAAAAATAGATGCGTCGAGTCTCCCAAGCCTCTTCGGCAGGGCTCTTAGCTTTTGCCCCTTTCGGTCCGCAGTCGATTCTTTGAATCCTTTTTATGCGAATCGTGCTTGTCTCGTAGTCACTGCCGGGTGCTCTGCGGCTCTGCCTCTGCTTGGCTCTGCTGTGCCCTGATGATTAATATGCCCGGGCCCGTGCCACACCATCAACATCGACGAAGTCATGCAAATAAAGGACTTTACTATAGCAACTCCGGCCGAGCTGGATTAAGTTCAGCTTTTCGATTCTTCATCTCTTGGGCTTGTCGAGGTCTCTGACGAGAAGATTCAGGAGTACGTGAAGTATTTGAGCAGGGAGCACGTCTCAGCAATTGAGTAAATTAACACTTGATGTGGCGTGGACCAAGACATATCCGATCTCGCGGAGGTTGAAATTTTGAGCAGTTTGCTCGCTGCGGAAAAGCAGCAAGTGGCAGGGAGCCCAGTTGCTGCAGTGTGACTGCAAGGGAGCCGCCGGGGCCATTCAGTCGCTACAGACACAGCTGGTTGAGGGTGGTGGCAAGCAGGAACAACAAGGGAAGGGTTGGGGCTTCCGACTGGGGCTTCTCCAAAATTGCATGTATAGCCCCAACACCACAGTGCCGTAGCTGTCCAAATGACATCACTCGCTTGATCGCGATGTTGTTGCAAGTAGCTGTGCATCGACAGTGGCATTGCTGGCAGGCCAAAGCGCTCATGGAGGTTCATTTTGCGAAGAACGAGGCTGGCATCCACAGAGTATGATTTCGGAACATGTTGGGCAGTCATTCTCATCCAATTTTTGGCGCACCTTTCCGACGCGCACGGAAGGTGATCATTCAACAAGGTGATCCAGGCACAACTTTTTACATTCTCTTTGAAGGAGAGGTGCGCATCTTGGCGAAGGGAATATGACATGCTGAGTTCCTGCATGCTTGCTGTAATTAGGTTGCAGTCTCGATAGATGGCGACGAAAAGGTTCGCCTCCAGGCCTGCCAGCTTCGCAACCAGTCGTCCAGCCAGTGACTATGAGCGAAGCAGCAGTCGTCGAATGCGACATACGAAGGCTAGCGAAGACAGGGGAACAGCTCAATATTTTGGCCACGCGCTCGGTTCTGATCGTGAAACTTGTCTCTGGGGACTCTTTGTGCCGGACCCGCGAGTACATCTTAATAACATCTTTGAGTGTATCAGGGCAATCGAAAGTCCGTGTCATGATTTCTGTGTTTTTGCTTCCCTGCGTTCGTGCTTCGGTGACCTGGCTAGTGCTATCAAGCACGCAGAGTGAAGTTTGCGGCCACGGCGCCGGATTTTCAGCTGCGACGTTCTCATGACACTCCTGTTTGGCTTCCGGGCCTGTCAATGTTCATGTTGTGCGCGACGTCCTCACATGACCCAAAGGCGAGCGTGCCCTGTTGCACAACGAGCCGCGGGCGGCAACGGTGAGGGTAGTGTCCAAGGATGCCAAGGCAGAAGAGAGAGAGGATGTTGAGAAGAGGATACATCCGTGAACCGGCTTCGGAGGGGGGCCACATGCCTCGCCAGGCACTGGCGCTGGACAAGGAAGCCTTTGACCTGCTGCTGGGACCCTTGGAGGAGTCTCATCTTGCCTGCCTTGCTTGCGCCCCGAACGTTCAGACCAAGAAGCCATGGGCAGGAAATTCTTGCTCGCAAAGATCAGGGAAATCAACCATCAAAGGCACCGATTTTCAATGCTTTGCGCTGTGGCTAGCCGCTAGGTCTGTTTCTGGAACGGATTGGCCACGCAGGGCGCTGTCGCTCCTCCTGCAGGAGGAGCAGGTGGTGGCCGGGATCCAAACAGGCTCGGGGAGTTTGTTTCTTGGATGGTGGGGGGGCGGGCGGGGGGGTTGCGGAACCAGGGTCACGTCTGCTTGCGTGGATATTCCACGAGGGACCAAGCTAAAGCACACGCCAGCAATTTCCACTGCATTTCCGCGATGCAGCAGGGGAGCACAAAAGCACGAGACTGGTAGCTATCTGGTAGCTCCGCTGGAATGAATCCATAGTTTTAGGGGGCTCCAGCTTAATTAGGCCGCACACCCCGAGGGCTGTAGAAGTGACCTCGCAAGCAGCATCGCATTGTGGCAGCGGTAAGATGTAGCGGCATTGCGCCGAGAGGTTTCAACGTCCGTGACCCACCCACACACCCACTCTGCCAGGGTAGAAATCGGGTTTCAGTCCGTGCACGAACTCTCAGCTCGCTGTCTCAAATAGAGCAGAACTGAACATCGAGTTGGCACACAGCGGAGCCGCCGACCGTTTCGGTTTCGGAGGCCAAAGATCCTGATGAGTGATCTCCAGAAGATTGGCCTCCTCGGAGCTGGTGGCTTCGGTGCCGTGCCTTCCTCGGAGAAAGGTTGAACTGTCAATCTGTGCTGAGTGCTTTGCCCTATGCGATGCAGGTAGAGCTTTGGGAGCACAAGTCGAGTGGAGAGACCTATGCCATGAAATGCAAGCACCCCGGGACTCGGATTCGGATACCGCTTGAGATGCAATCTCAAGATGAATGCGCCTGGTAGTGACTTGCCGGACCATGCCCGAGGCATCAGCAAGGGTTTCATCGTGAAGACGGGAATGCAGGACCGATCATAGTTCGGTTTGATGGGGTTGGAGTCTTCACGACATGCCCACCAGCACCTAGCTCGGGCAGATCCCTAGCCGACTCCTACCAAAGATGGTCTCAGAAGGGGATCACGACACTCGCTGCAGAGGTCACAGTCAGCGGCTTTTCGGGTTGCTGCGCTTTACATAAAACTATGACCAGGTTTCAGGAGAAAAAACCGAGGTCAAGGTTTCAGTTTCATGTCGGTGGCAGGCTTTGGACGTATGAACATGTCCGGCTAAAATGCGCATGTCTTTCCATTGAAGGACAGTGTGATCACTGAAAAGAACATCCTCTTCATGACGAACTCAGACTTCATCATCCGTCTGTACGAGACGTGCCGCACTGAGCCATCGAGCTTCGAACGGGAAGCAAGCTCAAATTATCTGGTGGTAGTACTTGCAGAGACAGGCATCGAGATTGGCACTGTCAGGTATAACTCCAAGCAGTCGATCTATTTCTTGATGGAGCCTGGAGCTCGACAATCTGGCAATACCGACATGCACCGAACTTCTCTCGCTGACATGACTTGCCTGTGTCTGGAACGGGCGGGTGCAGTGCAGCATGCTGATGCCGTGGTGCCGAAGGCCTGCTTTGGGCGGAGAATTGTATTCGATGTACCAGAGGAAGGCCGTCCTCTCACCGGTTCTTCTCGCTTGGTGGCAGTTGTGTGATCAGTACGATTTTTGGTGGGCAGGGCTTCTACGGAAGCGAAAAGCACGCGAGATACTACTCTGCGGGTGTGGCCTGCATCTTACACTGGCTAAAATCAAATTCCGTTCGTTACTCAAGGCAAGTTGCCCTGCGGTTTCTCGAGGTGTGTGCCTTCGAACATCTCCACGAAAGACACATCATCTACAGGCGGCAGCGTGCATGTGCTCCACACTTCCCAGTGCTCTTGCAGAATATGTTCTGTTTGCACATTGTACATGCTTCTCATTGCAGCGCCAGGGATCTGAAACCAGAGAACCTGCTCCTCAATGAGAAGGGCCATCTAAAGGTGACGCTCTTGTCCAATGACAACCAGTGCTGCAATGGGTAGGCCAGTCTCCTTGCCTAACAAGGTCACAGACATGGGCTTGGCGAAGTTCGTCATTGGCAAGGCTGGCGATATTCTCTTGGAGGTTTAGTTGCAACGGCATTCTGTGTACCGTCAGACTTACACGACCTGTGGCACGCCGGACTATTTCGCCCCAGAAGTCATTGCGTCGTGCAGGGCTAAGTGTGATGTTGGCGATGCCAAAACTCTGGAGCTGGTGTTCTGCTCGAATCAAAACACCTTCCCCGATTATTTTGGAGCACCGACCTGGCACGGAGAAGTCACGCCTTCGAACATGGCGCCGAAGACTGGACCTACCCGGCCGAAAGACCCACACCTCTGCAGGCAACTGTTCGAGTCAACCCTGCTTGGGCTTAGGACTGGACACACCCATGCCGTGGACTGGTGGATGCTCGGGGTCCTCGTCTTCGAGTTCATGCACGCTACTCAGTGTGTTGACCAAACCTGACATTCGCCTGGTTTGTTGGGTTGATGCAGGACTGGATCGGCTCCTTTCGAAGCGTACTGCCCTCGCAATCAGATCTCGTTGCAGATCCTGTGGTGGCACCTTGTAGCGAAAGGCCATACCCAATGCAGATCTATGCGAAAGTTCTGCGCCACGCTGAGAATCTGACAGCTATCAAGCACCTGGAGTTCTGTGCTCGCTTTTCTCTGCGACCAAGGAAGGGCATCAACTCTGTGAAGTTCCCTCCGCAGCTGTCGCCCCAATGTGTGGATCTAATAAAGGCTGGAACTTGCAGCCGTCCACGATTCGCCGTTGCGTTGCAACGCCTGAGCTTGGAGGCAATTTGCCAAAAGGAGCCAGCAGACCGATTACCGATGCTTCCTGGTGGTGCCAAAAACCTGAAGGTCGGACGAGTCTGCATCACGGGTCGTGCTGCTGCACTGCTACTGTGCACCGGCAGGCCCATGCCTGGTACAAAGGCTTCAACTGGGTTTGAATCCTAGAACACCAGCAGTGCCACTGGAGTTCAAACGTTTTGCTTGCAGTCTCAATCTCGTCGACTCAGGACAAGTTTACGGAGTTCACTCTGGATCCCCCCTTTGCACCGAAGGTGAGGGGCAAGAAGGCCAGTATCCTAGTTGCCGTCGATTCTCGTCCGTCGCCGGCCTGCAGTTTCTGTTAAATTTTTGTAAGGACTTGGCAAACTTCAGCGTCCATCCTGATGAGATGCCAGCTGCTCGTGAAGAGCCGTTTCGTGATGCAAGTCTTGGCTTCTGGGAGCTTTGGAAGAGTTCAAGCCCAGGCCGCGTTTCATCGAGTACGTGGACGATGGAAGCGGGTGGGACAAGGCATGGAGCACAGGTCGCAAGGACAGATGCCATGGTGCGCACAGCGGTCTGGGGGAACCAGGACTTTGCGACATGCTGAGCGGCTGCCCCGTGGAGGCTTCGGCACCGACCTGAGACTGACCTCGTGCCTTTTCTGGATACTCTAATACGTCAATCAGTCTCTTTGCATGTTTTCCAGTTCTCGAAACAGAGAGGTTTAGAGTTTGGGGGTTTTGCGTGGTCTAGTTTAGGTCGATACCACCCTATGGCTGTGGTGATTCTCGACAAATCTCATGGCCCTGTCTACCGAAATTTCCTTGTCTGGACTGCGAAGACGCATAGCCAAGTTGGGATGATTTCATGTAGATAAGACGGTCTGGCTTGCATCCACGACGCAGCGGCCGGCAGGTTTGGACGGACTGGTGCAGGTTTTATACCAGCCCATGCACGGCTAAAGCACGGAGCCTCTTGATTTTGCCTTCACTAAACACGTAACGAGCAACTAGCTGAAGGAAGTGCGAAAAGAAAGCCGCAGTTTAAGATGCAACCAAACAGGTGAGTGAATTCAGCGTGTTTAATTGAATCGAATTGAGTGTGCACGTGGCACAAAAGGGCAATCTAATAGAATCAAAACCGCGCGTTCCTTGCCTTTTCATTACTTAAAATTGGGCCGTTTGCACCGTGTCTCATTGTACTGAAAGAAAGTACTGTCATGATTGTAATGAAAGCACGTTCCTTTACCTGAAAAGGGAACACAGGGCAGGCACTAGAGGAACGAACCCTTTTGGTAGATGAGTTCAGTTCATATGATTTAATAAATTCAAGTTAGTTAATCCTTGAAGATCCAAACTACTTGTAGGAACCTTACAATGCTTCTGGCTTGTGCTTGGTCAATTTAGTCTTGCGTTCTTTCCATGTGGACTGTGGCAAAGTCCTCAAACGCAATCTTTGTTGCCATCGCCCCCCCCCTCCCCCCCCTCCTCCCCCCCCCTCCCCCCCCCCCCCCCCCCTCCCCCCCCCCCCCCCTCCCCCCTCCCCCCCCCCTCCCCCCCCTCCCCCCTCCCTCCCCCCCCGTCCCTTCGGCCGAGCTTGCTTCTGTGCGGAACGTCTGTGATCCGATCGTGTGCGGGTCGTCTTTCGGTTTTCGTTTATTCGCACGGGTAAGTACTACCAGCAGTAACATCGAAGAAAGTCGGCGGGTAACAGTAGCAGCAGTAGGCGACCTTAGCTAACCGTCAGGCCCACCTGCTTGTGATTTCTTCTAGCGAGTGGGGTGGAGGGTGGTGCGGACGGGCTTCTTGTACAAGGATATTCAAGTTCTGGTCCAGTGGTCCCTGAGGTCTGTAGCTCCAAGTCACGGAATCTGCTAGCCGTGGCCTGCTTCGATGGCTGGGGGAGTCGGGCTCCGAAAAATACTAAAAGCTCGGAAGCCTGTACCAACTCCAGTGGATGGATTGGAAATGGACAGCAGGATGTGAGGCTGTTGAAAAGGGCATGTCCACCACCACAGCGTCGCAGTGTAAAGCAATGCAGCCGATTGTTGGCGCACCTCTTCCGCCCGGATTAACCGCTAACAAGTCCCGACGGGGGAGGGCCTCCTGTTTTTTTTTTCGGAGCCTTCCGCATGAGTCGCATTGGGCGTCGGGCTGCCTTCTGCAAGCTGCCTCGGAGCCGTTTTCTGTCAGGCTTGTTTTCGTTATTTTTTCAAGGAAAGAGTTGAGAGTAGGACTTCAGACTTGAGATGCAGGTGAACCTTAAATCTCGTTTGCAAGCCAAACCCAGTTCCGCTGTCCCTGGCAAAGCATCCCAAGGCATGGCGCGCACTTGGAAGTTTGGCAAGCGCAATTGACGCCGGCCGGTTGCGTTTCACCAACTGGGCAACATTCGCAGCTATCACGTGAAGTTGTACTTTGGAACGAGGCAGCTCAAAAGACAAGACTAAGCTAAAGCGCGTGGGCCCCGGGTCAGTCCCTGCAGGCCACTGTCCAAATGAAGGTAACCCCAACATCGGTGGTCTGTCGGGGCCAGTGCTTGATGCCCCTACAGCTCTAGATTTTTGTAATTTGTCTCGCGCCGGTGTCTCACTCTGAACTGATTGCCCAGAGCTTGATGTGCCAATGGCTTGGATCAATCTTTGGCAATTCTTCTCGAATGCTCTGCTGGGCAGCACTGCAGAATTTGCAGCCAAGCGCCTCGCAATGAGCATCTTCCACGTGACCTCAGGTTTCAACTATGAAGATCCAAAATATTATAGACCCAGCAGTTCTCTTGTCCAGTCAGAGCCCTGGCATGAGGTAGAGACGGTGCTGTCGCACTGTAGACTGTAGCTCACTGTCACGTGGCCCTAGAGAAAGCAGCGTAAAGCCGGGGCTGTTACTTCCAGTCGCATCAGTGAGGTGTTTCTCGGCACCTCCTTTTAGTGATGCAGTACGCCAAACTAGGCTAGCTCGTCATGAGGTTCGCTGACCTGTGCAACGCTTCAGAATCCACTGGCAGGCAATAGTTTGAGTCGCGAACACATGGCAGCTGGCATTGAACCATAACCTCCTTGCAGAGGTCCCCGCTAAGTTTGCACAAATGTGTCGCGGGCTCTGTAAACGACTGTGTCCTTTTGATTTACATATGTTTACGTACATTTTACGTTTCCTAGGAATACTAAAAGCATTGCTGTTTCTTGTCGATGGTTTTCCGTTGGCTGCTGAAGGGCGCCATTTCAGACTACTGCGATCATGCGGCAGAATGCCACACGATGGACATGCACAGCTGGAGGGCTAGGCTTCAGCGCATGTGATGACACACAACACTGTTCCACGCCCAGTAATTTCAAAACAGTGCGTCTCCCAGCGCTTGTTGTGTTCGCTAGTCATCTTGGTGGTCCTCGGGCTGTTTTTGGATTGCCGCCTGTCGTGGGAATTGGCTGCAGACGTGGCTCTAGGCTTGTGTCGTATGCCTAAGTTCGTATCATGACGACCCCACATAGAACAACTGTACATAAGCATCACCGAGTTCTGGACGTCGGAAGAGCAGCCGTTCAGTGAAGCTCTACACAATGCAACACACTCCAACTTCGGGCTAGGAGCTGCAAGCGGAAAGGCGGCTTGTGAGGCATGCCGGATCAGACGTCGAACATCGATGTGGTCAAGGCTGCAAATGGCTGCAAGCTGTTCGGACGGTCATGCACTGTCGAGTTGCCGCTTCCAGGCAGCTGAGACCACGACCTGGTCAAGCCAGATAGCGCTTGCTGTTGCAGAGACTGTACAGCGCCTGGGCTGAGCGCAGACTGCTTGCAGCTATCCTGTTGTGAAGCAACAAAGGACGGTTGTAGCCGTAGGCTGCATCTGCACATTTTGACTTGCGCACGTGGTTGGTCTCGCCTGGCGGGATGCAAGGAATGGCACTCAGCGAGACAGCTGGTGGCGAAGTGAGGCCGGTCAGGGGGTTGGTAGGGGGCCCACGACAAGAGCAGTTTGCATGATTTCTCATCAAGGGTAGCCTGTGGGGGTTTCTGCAAGAGCAATACGACTTCCGTCTCAGCAACTTCTCAGCTTCTGTCGAGAGTCCCTCAGATCCAATGTTTTCTATGCTTCCCAGCTGTTCACTTGGCGGCTACATCTGCTCGCCATGGTTGCCCAATCGCTGGCTTTCCAGGCGTGTTTCCTTGTAGCCTCCCACGTGCTCCTGTTTGCTTCAGCCAATTGGCCAGAGACTAAGCCAGTTTGGCTACAGCACACCACCACGTCTCGATATTGAATCGTGCTTAGGTTCTTTGCAAAGCTTCTCTATCGAGACTACGAGGTCGCGTCCCTAAGCAGAAGTGCTTGCAAAACAAGGCTCGTGCTGCCAACATTGCCTCGAAACAATCTGCAGGTCAAGCAGCGATACATCCAACTTCTTTTTGCCGTGGGACTGCCATTTTTGGCCGATGTGCTGGGCAGCAAGTTGGCGTGTTGCACTGGAACACGGAGCCAGGCAACCTTTGCGGCGTCTTCCTCCATGCCGGTGTCTTGGGCCTTGGAGGAAATTCTGATGGATTGGCTTTGTCTTCGAGGTTTGAGCTGATGTTGGCCACGGTGGCTGGATTTCTAGATCCGGACGTTCGCGCCGTGGCTTGGAAGGTGCGGGCACTCCTGGAGTGCCGCTAAGACGAGATGGTCAACCGCAGTCGAGACAATATCTGGCTGATGACAGTAGCCATAACCTTTTTTCGCAGAGCCTAAACATCCCAAATGCGACCACAATGCCCAGCTGCACAGTTCTGCCACTTCCCAACTCGAAAACCCAAGAACAGCTGCGCCGCATCCTTGCAATCAACAGGAGAAATTTTCTGTTTCTGGTCCGTGCGCATGCTGTGGCACTCTGGCACTGTTGCCCGCCAAACATGGTAAAGCACAATCCTACTAGTACTAGCAGATACTAGTACTGTACAAGGAGCATGTGGCTTGCCTAAACTCGGCTTGCAGGCAGCATGTACAGGGCTGTGGCATTGGCAGAACAGATCGACCCCAGGCACAGCATTGGCAAAGTGCGTAAAGACGAGGAGCTCTGAAACTGACTCAACGACTTAACGACTTCGCTGGAGGGCCAGGTTTGAAGGCGTCCCGGCAGCGCGGGGCGATGCAAGTCTCTGCAAGCTGCCGGCAAACGACGGTAACCTTGTGCTGGGATTTGTGAATGCTGCTCAACTAAGTGAGGCAATCTTCCTAAGTGCACCCTACGGAGGTTGATCACTGGACACTCATTTGGCTTGCTTACGTTGCCTTGCCAGCATGCTTTGCCGACAGCTCAGCGACAGCTCAGCTTCCAGACTGCCCTTCAAAGGGCGTCCTTCGTCCGTCGTCCTTTGCCTTTGCAGAGGTCTGGACATCGGTGCGGTCCATTTGCTACGGCTCTCACCGCCTCGCCGCCAGCTTACAGGAGGTTTCGAGCCTCGAGGCACCCAGGCACCCAGGCATTCTGCCAGATTCTGCCACTGCATGTTCTGGCAATCGACACTTTCTAGCTGCTAGTTGCTACTGTAGCCTGGAGGTATGCTTTTGGGCAGACGGCCATGTTTGTCACAAGAACAGTGAAGCAGACTCATGCCTTGGGCGACTAGAATGACCAGTCCAGGTGCCAGAGGAGATGTGTTGAACTTCATCCTGTAAACTGTTCCTGCACACATCACTTCACAGCACGGTGCCGTCACGCTTCCGAGGCCTTCGCTTCGGCCGTCCTTTCGCTACCTCCGTTCTGGTTCCTGGGCAGACATATGCAGACTTGGTTCTTTCCTTGTCATTGTCGGCCTGCGCAGGTACGCAATCTACATCTCGGGGCGGTGGCGGGCTCAGACGGCTCCAGAAGGCTAATTCCTGAATCGCATTGTCCCTCCCACCGTCGCAGCCGGAACAGGTTGATTCACATAGACTCTGCCGGTGTCTCAGAAAGCCGTAGTTTGGCAAGTGCGGCTCCACGCTTATTGGATCCTGCGTACTTCCACGTCGCGAAGACAGGTGGGAGTATGCATGGATGAAGCAAACACCAACGAAGCAGCGAGTCGCCAACCACCACGACGGCACCAAGGTCAGTTTTTCTGCGGACTTGCTGATGGCTCGCATCCCTGGCCGTATTTCGGACACATGCCATACGTCGTAAGGTGCTGTACGATGGGTGAAGTGTCTGGTGGATTCGCAACTTCTTGCTCTCATGGCCAGGTATCGGAGTCTTAGGAGTCACAGTTGTGGCGACATTGAGTGGCTTCGGCGTCTCAAGCTGAGTTCTGCGTGGAACAACACGCAGATCGTAGTCAGATCGTCGACGCAGCAACTGCCTACCGCAGGCCGTGAACTTTCCCTTCCAAAGCATGCATTCGTTCCTTCGACCTGTCACACAGCAGCAGGCAGGTCCTGAGGGTCCTGCAAAGTCTCAAAGTCTCTGTCAACATGTTCCACGTTCCAGGTGGCGGATGTTGAGCAACGCTTGTTAAGGCCCTCTGACGAGTTCTCAGGCGATGTTCTGGACGTGTCAAAACGCCCTTGCTTCCTGGCGGAGGACCATGAGGCTAATTTCGGCAAGGAAGCGGCAGGAACTGACCTTGAAGCAGGACCCCTCACATCGCCGTTCGGGTTGCAATGATTCTCAATCGGTCTGATTCGGGCGAGGAGGAGAGCCGACTGAGCACCAGGGAGGAACCACTCTCCATTGTTGGGCGCGCCAGCTTCTCAATACCTGGTCAGGGGCGCAGGATGACTCAAGATGGACGTTCGACGATCAAGCAGAACTGCAGAATAGAGAGCCTGAGACCAAAACGAAACACGTGGCCGAGGTGGCCCAACTGGTGCAACGGCCTTTGCTCTCACTGGAGGTTGTGTCAAAAAGAGACCGCGACCGTGCTCCTCTGCTCCTCGTGCGTGTTGAAGCGAGTCTTTGGTGCCAGGCCCTGGGCTTGAATGTCCGTGGAGGCAAGGCCTCGCGTCATAGCACGAATTGACGTGTGGCTCATGTCCTCTCCTGAGGATCAGCGACGCGAAAACAGCTGAGCACCGAGATTCAGGCCGATTCTTTGCGACTTGTTCACGCCGCTCTCCTTCTGTGACGAGGCGCTCGAAGCCTTCAGCCGCGAGTTGTTCGTAGAGCTGGACGAGCTCATTCAGGACCCGGGGGGAGGGGCCAGTTTGAAGCCGTGGGGGGTTTAGCCGCTGAGATGCTCGGCCCTGCATGGGGTCGGGAAACATGCTTTCCAGACCAGACTTCACGCGACTCGCTGCCATGAGCTTCAGCTGTCGAAATCTCGCAGGCACAACTGGACAGTATTTCAGTGTGATAGGACACTAAGAGGAACATACAGGAACTCCCCTCGCCGACGGCAGGCATATCAAATCAACAGCACACTCCCCAGTTCTGGGGAGGCAGAGGAACTGGATGTTTATAGGCCAGGCCCTGGCACGAGAGGCTACTTGACGTGAGACATCTTTGGGTCTTTTTCCCCGTTGAAAGAGCCGGGAGTCCAGTTGCCACCAGCCAACGAGCAGCCGGGAGCAGGCCATGTGGCACTTCAGGATGATCTGACTGCAGGACCTGTGCCGTCTGTACAACAACCGGTGCACCTACCGACGAGATCTCCCTCTGGGTACTCTTGGATCTGGATCCGACGACAGTTCTCCAATTCGGCAAGTGGCAGAGCAGCGAGTCGCTCACGAGAGCGGGTCGAGAAGCTCACTCTTCTCTTACCCTCATCTTCATCCCGGCATCCCTCAACCTCACCTCTGTCTCATGTGCTATGCCGACCGGACCACGACCCACATTTGGGCACGGTCGGACTGGAGTGATTCAGGTCGGATCCTCCCTTCGCAAAGCGACGATATCTGAAGATTCACCCGAGGCCCTGAGCTCGCTTGAGGCTAGGAGCTGAAGGGTTGTTTGCTCCCAACCCCCACTCCCTTTCATTCTCATCCTCAATCCCCGCCCACTCCCACGACCTCGCGCTGGATCGGACTTCTCGCCCTTCACTACTCATGCAATGAGCGAGCAGCGAGCAATGTGCTGAGCCAAGCAGTTTTTCGATCCGTCGCTTCACAAGGCCCGCCTGTGCGAGCTCAAAGCCCGCACTGTGCTTGGCAGGGCCGCCCTACAAGCTTGCAGATGCTTGCGCAGACATGGGTTTCCGTGCCCGCAGCAACCATACATCGTGACACTTGGATGCCAGGTCATGAATGTTCTGGGGCGGTGCTGCTCTGCCATATGAGCCTCGGCGGCGGTTTCACGGCTCCAGGAGATGGCAGCGAAAGCAGGATACATTTCGGCTGACCCTGAGGCGTATACAAGATCCTGATGTTTGGGCCTCAAGCAGCCGTTTGCCTGTCTTACAACGTGCCTGAACGAGCCAGGTCCTCCATCAATCTCTTGCTTAGGCAGGATGCTGGACTATGAACTGTTGTGACAGTGAGTATGAGTCGCCAAGCCACGAAGCAATTTTTGAGGCGTGGCAGCGCGCAGGCCGAGGATCCTGCGACGAGGCAGGCACTGCCTTGCAACATCCGAATCAAGGGTATCCGATACCTTGGTAGGTTATTGACTATCCTCCTCCTAAACCTCAGAGCGAGCAGCTGAGTAATTGCGACTGCTGCACAAGGCAGGCGCTCATATGGACTGTCCGTGTTGCCACGTTGCGAGCTGAGGTTCCTGTGGACGTCTCCTACTGGGCGCCAATGCTGTCGTTGATTTTCGCAGCACCGGCTTCCCTTGACAACCGTTTTACAAGCGGCTCTTGCAGAGTGCGCAGCCTGAAGAGATCATCAACCCTCCTTGAGGCCTAGGCCTCAGCCATGGACACTGAAAAGTCGTCTTGTAGACAACCCTTGGAGGGCCGAAAAACCTCCGTGTTCACACTTATGTAGGTTTTCCACTCGAAAGCATCGTGACCGAGAAATGGGCAGTAACACCTAGTAGGCCCATGGGTTTATCGAGGGCAGCGACAAGTGGCCACTAAACACTCGATGCAACGAGACTCGTGATATCGGACTCATGCTCCTCCGGTTCAAGTACCCCGGTAAACCAAGCCCAGTCGAAGCCAGCAGAAGACGTGTAGCGCCATGTTGCGTCCTTCCTGCCGAAATGGCTACGGTGGTAGACTGCGGAGCATACAGCTTCAAAGCTGGTCATTGCATGGATTCAAAACCTGGCATAGTTAAGGAGTGTCCGTTTGGCTTCCAGGAATGTTTGCGAGATGCTCGTTTTTGGCATTCTCTGATAGGGCAAAGATCCCAGGACTTGATCATTTCGGTGCCTGTGTGGACATGCAGAAAGACGAAGGAAAGCATTTGTCAATTACTCTTCGAAGACTTCGCAGCGAAATCCATTTGCATGGTTAGCTCAGCTTTCCTGGTTGGCCTCGCAGCCCGGAGTTCGACTGCATTGGTCGTAGATATCGGTGCAACAGGAACGACTGTTACACCAGTGGAAGATGGCTATCCGTTGACCGAGTGCATCGTGCACGGCTCCTTGGGAGGAAATGCACTGGATGTGGCAATGTTCCAGCTCCTGCAAGATGCTGGCGCTGCACTGCCCGACGGCTTGTCTGGAGCTGAAGCTGGGAAAATCGCGAAAGAACAGTTGGCTTGGGTGGCACAAGACTTCACCCTTGAACTGCAGAAGTTGAGGCGGATGGAGGTGCCATCGCAGCCACCAAAGCCAAGCATGTGCGACTTCGTCGGCACAGGGGGCAAGCGCTGTGTTTTTCAAGCCAGCCGAGGAGAAGGGTTCAAATGCGCAGAGTGTTTATTCGACCCGACTGTCTGTCGTGCGCCTGGTGCTGCCAGCACGATGCCACAGACCCCGCAGACATTGCCGGAGATGGTGCTGGCAAGTTTGCGATTGCAGAGCAACATCAACGTCCGTGGTCAGCTTCTGCAGAACGTTATACTCGCTGGAGGCATGTCGCAGTTGCCAGGTCTCCAAGAGCGACTGGCTACCGAGATCAGGCGCCCTTTGAAGAAACTAAAGATCCTCGAGATCTGACAATGAGGGGCATGAAATGTTACGGAAATGTAAGGTTTTAAGTTGCGGGATGACGAGGGCTTTTGAAGAGAGCTTGCATGAGCTGTGATGGTTCGAGGCACTGCAGCCGCTGGGTGGCGCCGGGTCAAAGTCAAGAAATTGTCAAGGCAGTGCAGTGTTGTGCAACCTTGCACAGCATGTCCTAGCACGCTCTCGTGAACACGTGAGATGCAGGTCTGTGCGCCAAAACCTGGATCGATTCAAGCACCAGCCACAGACAGGTAAGACAGTTTTGGCACCGTGAAGTTCAGTTCACGCCATGACCATGAGCGGCATCGCCCGACTTTGGCATACTTTCGCTCCGCTAGTTTGTATCCGCTCGATCTTCACTCAGGTCGTCGAAAGCGTGTCATCCGCACTAGAAAACCATGTGCACTTGTGTCCGGTGGTGCCCAGTACAGAGCTTGTGGTGAAGGCATCTGTATGCCGAGCAACGCAAAGGTTTTTCCAGCTGTCAGCTTGCCGCATCACCTCAGCGACCAGCAAAGCACGGTATCTAAGCACAAGCCTTCCCCATGCAAGCTGGACCAACAAGCAAAAATGTTCCGACACCTGGAAAGACCCTCTTGCAAGAAGCTGTGTGCTGTCCTTGCTGATGCGTTTCGCTGTTGTGTGTGAAATGCTGGGGGCAACCACACTGGCGAATCCTAAGCTCAAACAAGGGTGGTCAAGACTCGCAACATAACTACAACTGTAGCACAACAATATACAACAATCAAAGCCTGCAGCGGCCGTGGCTTTCAGCAACACATCGTCACCCGTCGGCACATTTCCGACAATGCCTGCAATAAGGCATGGATTGGTGGATCGCTGTTGGCCCAGTCCCTGCTCTGCAACAAACTAACTGCTCTGCATGCACCATGCCAGAATGCTGTGTCCGCGCCTGCATTTTCAGGTGTGAAGTGATCAGAGATCTTGTCGTTAGCCGAGAAGCATACCAACGCTAGCGCCTTAAGCCTTTGTGTGTCGTTGTCGATCTAATGGAGGTGCTGAAGTGTAACGCGCGTGTGGTTGTAAGTGGGGGACCGATCACAGTCTCGGCTCGTCCGCCTTTTGAGATTTCTCGTCTCCCGCATTTCCAGCCCTTTCGCCGTGCATCATGGCTTCCGGCGACGACTACTGGGTTGACCCCAGCACTATTTCGACGTCGGCGCTTGCGGCGGCCGGTGGTGCTGGGGAGAGGAGAGATGGCTGCCACCTTATCCCAGACGATCTTAAGGCAGGTGTCGGAGCATCACAGAATTGAGCCTGCCTGGCAAACCACACTCGAGGGTGGGCGTTTGCCGGCGCTTTCTGGCTTGGCCAGCAACGTTGGCGGTGGAGCCGATCACGACGAGGAGTGCAAAGATGGCGCCTTGACGAATGCCTTGGCCGCGTCGAGCTCCCCTTCAGGTATAGGCGCAGCGGTGGGCTGGGCGTGCAACGTCGGACGGCGACAGGGTTTGCCAGGTGGGGCCCAACTCCTCCCTGCCCGCCCCTTCCACAAAGCATCTCGACAACTGCCGAAATTGAAGGGGTCTGCGTGAACCGCCCGGGCGCCTCAGGCGAGCGACTGGCGCCCAGACCGTCAATGTTGCCAATGCCTTGTGGGACTTTTGTGGGCACAGCGTGCGCCCGTCGGGCATAGATGTGCCAACCCTCACCGGCCAGGCCGGGCGCATTTCGCGCTTCGACCAAAAAGGGATACTGCACCTTTTTGGTTGACACGAAGCTTGTTTGTGTAATGCACGTGTGCGTGTAAGGACAAGCCTATAAGCGAGCGACCGAGGAGCGTCGCGGCTCGTGCGCCTTTGAGATCCCGCCCTCTCCACCCAATCATTTGATCGACTTCTGAGACTATTGGCCGGCACTCGCTCCCTCCCGAGCGGATGCCTTCTTAGCACAGCTCACAAGTGAGCACCCCACCTCCGGCGCCTGGTTTCTGGGCGGCGTGCCCGGACGGAGTTCGCGCTTCGACATGCTTTGACCAAAAAGGGCCGCTGCTCCTTTCGTAGATTTGGCTAGAACGTTCGCGTGAGGCTTGATATGTGTTTCATGAAGCAGCTGCAAGGTTCGGGCCCGGAGATGGACTTGCGCTCAGTCCTCTGTTCCAATAAACATGCAATGCAAGACTGCAAGACCTAAAAAGTCCATTTGCCAAGCAGGTACATTCCCTCTTCATCTGAAGGCAACGGCAGCCAAAAAGATGGGGCATTGCCAGTTTGCGACCCTATCCTTTCCAAAGTCTGAAGCATGGCAGCCAGATGCCGCGAGCGGCCAGCAAAAAAGATCAATGCACAGGTTCGTGGATCCAGCAAGTCTGGGCACGGTACCAGAGTTGAAATCGCACATGTCCATGTTTGCGGGACTCAACTACCATGCCAGGTCGGCTACCTCGCGTTTGCGAACACCCGGCAATTCATCCAGCGACTCCTCGCAATCTTTCGCATGGCGGTTTGCTCAGTTCTTTGCAGGTTGATCGGATAGACCTTGTGGGAGTCCAGAGTGCTGTTTCAATCTGACATGACATATGTTTAATTAAACACATGCATTAGACATACCATACGGCCGTCAGCAGCCCCGCACATTCCACTTGTTATAGTTTTATGGCAGACCAGAACTACTGCCAATGAAAACGGTTTACGCACCACAGTTCTGAGTGACATTACAACAGCTTCTTCCAACCAGCCAAAAACTACCGGCCACGGTTACTTTGCCCGAATCTTGCGCAGGAATTGGCCCATCGGCAAAATGGTATGAACCAGCAGTCGATAGCCGCTAACAGGTTGAGATTGGAATAGATTGCACCTTCGACCCGGCTAAAACCAGAAACCGCAGAGGTTTGCATTGGAGGATGTTCGGAATTGTACAAAGCTTCCTTTAGGATTGTTGGCTTGGTGAACTCAGTGTAATTTGTGCAAGCTCAAGAACGATCTACAAGATCCTTTGACTTCCTGGACTTCCTGGGTAAAACTCCGCATGTTGTTTTGCTTCAACTAAGTTACTGAACCAATCTCGGAGTGTTTTGATCTTTGCGGCAATTCGAAAGTTGTTCTTTCGAAAGTTTCCGGCATCCATCAATGATCCTCTTCTCTCCTTGCCTGATGCAATGTGAGGGCAATCGACACAAAAGGTCACGACAAGCAGCGAGGGGCAGCGTCTCGTGACGAAGCTATTGGTGCAAGTAAGGTGGTATAACATGGCACATGCCAGTAAAACAAACCAGTGCAAGTGGACTTGGGGTGACAGTTCGTGTGGATTGCGGCAGCTTGTCGATCGCGCTGACATACAGAAAGCATGGCACGATGGTCATCACTGCCATCAATAACATATTGTGATGGAGGTGGTCTTGATGTTGTTTACTGGTGCTCATGGTAGTGGCGATAACAGTGAGGAAAATCACTTTCTCGATGAATGACGAGTCTGATGATCGCGATGCTTTCGACGATGATAAAGTATAGGACGCTGACGACGACGATGCTGCTGATGGTGATGACGGTGATGGTGATGATGATGACGACCGTTGGGCTGGAATGACGGTGGTGTTTATTATGGTGGTGGTGATGATCATGGGTGCGATGATGAGCATGATGTTGGTGATGATGATGATGATGATGACGGTGATGATGATTTGGAGGTTGATACCTACGATGCAGACGTGTATAGATATTATGAGTATTGACGACCACTTGGATAGCGTGGTGAAAGTGGAAGTTAGGCTCGCCCGTGATCATGTTCGTCATCCTGGTTGTCGTCGTCGTGCCCGTCGTGTGAAGAATCCAGACTGCAAGCTGTTAGCTGAGAAGCGGTATCTTGCTGCTTCCGCTAGCCATCATAGTGTGACGAGTTCATAGTCTGGGCGGTGTAGGTCACAACAGCTTGCAAACATTGTATAAAGTCCCGCGTCACCAGTGTAGTGGTCTCTCAGACTTGAAATCCCTTAAAAGGCCAGCAGTTGGACATGTCAAATGGTTTTTGTTGACGGAAGTACAGTAGCAGTCCGCAATCAGGTGTCTACGTCCGTGACATCAAACTCACTCGCGCTGCTATTGTCTGAGGAGCGAGCCAGTCTGCTGAATCTACTATGTGCAGTTGCACGTCTGCGAAAACGAAGCCCCCGACGAAGCAGGTCATGGCAATGTACTTTGCAGCTTGCGTTATTCTCACCCTGAGGCTGAACACCGATTTTGGAGCATGTTGCAAAGCAGGGCATCCAGTTTGCAGAGATGCATGTCCAGCACATCTATCCTGTGGCCAGGTTCGTCCCGAAGCGCGATCGTGCAGATCTGCTAATGATGGTGGGGGAAGTGTAGAACTTACACAGGCCGTTTAGTTCCGGGGATCTTTCAAGCAGTTTCCATTCAAGCTCAGGTGGACCTGTCTTACGTCCACCTTCATTTCGATTATGTGCGCCCAGATACAGGGCTAGAATATGCACTCAACTAATGAAGCAGGGTCCACGAATGAGGTCTTTCTGTTGTCGTCCCTCTGCTCCCTGGCGGTCTTCGGTCTCAGTTATTGGCTGAAGCTCAGCTGAAAGGATCACGAACTCGTGTTGTCCCCATGGTCCATGGTATCCCGTGTTATGCCACTGCACCTAGGAAGGGACCTTCTGCAGACTCACCGCACGCGGACTGACCAAAACAGCATCAGCAATTATTTGGCAGCACTATCAGTCACGGCTTCACGTCTACTTTCAGCAGACGGCTCGCAAAACCTGTCGACTGGACTACGCCGAAGCCCACGACATGGCGAAGGATCGGAGACAGTCAGGGCCAGGGTTTGCCAGCGATCTGCCTCTGGCTCGGGTTGGGGTAGTCTCTTCCAAGCCAAACCGCCTGGCCTGGTTGTTGGGGATTTTGTGAGGGCGGCTGTGATGGGATACTCCAATGAATGCCGTGCGCCAGTGCACGGGTGTGGGGTGGGACTGCATACTCGCGCAGTATGTCGTACGTGCCGCCAGAGGCTTCGGTCTGTGCACTTCAAGATCGCTGAATGTGTTGGGGAACTTCGCTGCAGAGCTCAGAGTATGCGAACACCACGTCAGCAGGGGAGACTCACAGACACAATTCGGTGCATCATATCACGTTCAACGTGATATGATCCCGTACCTGCAATTGCTGTGTTTTCTTGCGACATCTTCCTGATGTTTCGCTGTTCATGGTGTATGTCATCGTGCTTGACGATTGAATTGTCTACTGTAGCATGCTGTAGCTATCGTTTGCACTATCGTGGCATTAGGCTACGCCTGAGTCCCAACTTTGCGTTCGCAAGGGAGTGCGTTCTTTTTCGGAGGCCTGGCTCAAGAACTTTGGGGAAGATTACAGCCCAGGGTATAGTGCTGAAAGATGTAGCACACAGTTACAATTGGCAATCTCAGAGTGTCTGTATGCATGCTCACAGTCTGGTGTCGGCTGTTGGGGTCGGGCCGTGTGGTACTTGTACCTTGGATGGCTGGCATATGATAATATGTTTACATCATGAGGATGGATGGGGCGGCCAGGCCTGGGCGGCCGGGGGAGCGACCGATTCAGGCATACTGTAGGTAATAGACAGCTGAAGTGAGATGGGCAGTGTTGCAGACACTTTGAGAAAGGTTGGGCTGCTTTGTGGTCGCAGTAGGGTGGGTGGGGAACGGCTTGTGATGGCTGTTTCTTGTGGGACACTGCTACTGCTTTGCAGCTGCGGTGGGTGACGCAGCTAAGGGGCAAGTGGGATGCTTCTGTGGGCCATGCATGGTCGGCCAGTGATGTTTTAGTCGCTAGTATCTTCTGCATGGTTCGCATGGTCGGATCCGATTTTCTTGCTTCGAGCTACAGCCTTGCAGCGTTGTGATCATCTTGTCACGCTACTCTCCAGCGTTCCGAGTGGAGATTTCGAGGTGCCCGGCAGTTGCCTGGCCGCGACATGCCTGCACTGCAGGCACTGAGATGACATATTGAGACACTTCCCGCAGCATGGGCTCCAGATTGAGCACGCCATTGCTGTCTTGTGTTGCGCAGCAGACTGGACGGAACTGCGCAGTGGATCTCCTAAACTTAGTTAGTGGAATTCACTGCTGAGATGGTTCTTAAACTGCGCACTGGCAGAAGAGCATCTTGTTTAAAAGGATAGCCCATGATAGCACACAGAGCACTGCATTGCGCGGTCGAGCTGTGATAGCTTGATGGGAGAAATGAGTCATCGAGCGAAGCCGGCTCTTGGCTCCCATGGATGCCATGGATTATGATTCTCCGGGTGCCTCCGACCACTTGGGCAAAACCAAAACCTTAAACAGCTTGAGGAAAGATGCGCAACTTCTGTGCTAGCCGCATCATCCTTCTGCTTGATCGTGTGCTTGCTCATGCCAGGCCTTCACTTACTTGCCAGCTGCCGGCGCATCTTTCGTGCATCTGGCAGCGCAGGCATGAGATTCCATCAGACTGGTCACACTAGTTACCATACAGCGGTTCTCGCTCTTCGCAGGTCCCCTGGCAGTCTTTGCCTGGCTTGGACGCCGGCTTGGAGCACGCTGCTCGAGCAGAGTACGAGCTGGGCGTGCAGGCCAATTTCCGCAAATTTCTGGGACGATGCAACCTGAAGCAAGACGCGTTGCGAGCACAGCTTCGAATGCCGCTCGCTGCAGCCCTCCCTTCGCTGGCCTGCATGCAGTGTCGTCCCTCCATGCTCCGCCGGTCGTCGTTTGTCTTTGCTGGTTTTGTCAGTGCTTCGTTGCAGGTTCATCACGGCCTGCAAACACCCATGTCGCTGAAAGGCTGTGACTAGCTGCAGCTCTCCCCCGTTCGTCCTCTTACAAGCCTTTCACCAGACTCTGTTCGCACTTCGTTGCGAGCCGGCCCCGTGGCAACTCCGTCTGGTCTCTGGATCATGTGTGCAAATTCATGGGCTCTCCGACTGCAGGTGGATGCTTTCCATGTGCCAGCACTGGCCTAGCTGTCCACAAGAATTGCAAGCACTTAGTATGCTGATCCTCTGCCGTGCGCACAGTATGCCTCGGATCGCGTCGAACCGAAGATGTGAGTCGCATTGTGCTTGCAGGCATGGAACTTGCGCCAGCCGGAGCAAGGTTTGGAATTGTTCCTGAGGAGGGCATGTGAGCTGCGACAATTGAAGCAAAGTGGGAGCATCAGACATCCTTGCAGGAGTGCGCAAAAGGGCCACCAAGTGGGCGAGTGCCGGACACAGGGAACTCTTTGATTCACATTATTCCATGCCCCAGAGTCAGGTTGTACGGGAACTTGAGCATTTTACATTTTGCATCAATCTTTGCAGCTCCCCAGCTATGCGCAGCACACCGTTTGCTGTCATGCACAGAAATTACTGTGAAAGGCGGTTAGCATATGTTCGTAAGCAGGAGCAGGAGCGGAGTGGTAACCGCGGCCGCAGCAGGAGCGGGAGCAACAGCACCAGTGGCAGCACCGGCCGCAGTACATCGCAGCAACAGTATCAGCAGAGGCAGCAGCTGCAGTCGCAGTCGCAGTAGCAGCAGCAGTAGTAGTTGTCGTTGTTGCTGCTGTTGTTGTCTAGTGGTAGCTCTGCGACTGGCTGGCTGTTTCTCCACTGCTCGTCTCTTGTACAGTCTGGTGCCGGGGCAGATACAATTCGCCCGCTATGAGCAGAGCCCGCTCGCTCGGCGTCCAATCAATAATCTAGTGGTAGTGGTGGTAGCAGTGGTAGCAGTGGTAGCAGTGGTAGTAGTGGTAGTAGTGGTAGTATTGGTAGTAGTGGTAGTAGTGGTAGTAGTCGTAGTCGTAGGCCCAGGCGTAGACGTGGGCTAGTCGTAGTCGTAGGCGTCGTCGTGGTGGTCGTCGTAGTCGTACTAGTACTAGAATGCCAGAACTAGTACTAGTAGTAGTAGTAGTAGTAGTAGTAGTAGTAGTAGTAGTAGTAGTAGTAGTAGTAGTAGTAGTAGTAGTAGTTGTAGTCTTAGTTGCAGCAGTCGTCGTTGTCGTCGTCGTGGGCATGGGGGTGCAGGTGGTACCGGTGGCATGGTACAGTAATGGTACGGGTAGCGGCTGTGGAACCGGTAGTGGTAGCAGTGGTAGAGCTAGCGGTGGCGGTGGTGGTGGATAGTCTTCTTATTCGTGCTTAACTTCCTTTTTGCATCACAAAGGTTGTATATGCGTCACAGGGCATGGTCAGCAAAGTGTCCTTGCTCATGGTTGCTGAGGTACTGCTTCCGCTACGGGATGCCCGCTAGCCTTTCATGCTGCGCTTTCTTGCGGGTGCGTTTATATGTCCTCCGAGATGTTTGCGGACTTCTGTCTCTCAGCCAGCTGGGCTCGCACAGAGTGAAAGAAGATGTATTCTAGTGGTGTCGCACGGTCGTCATAGTGAGCCGGGCATCGTGTACAAGAATATGATTGGAGAGTCAACGGTCAGCGGTCAGCAGCACAGCTTGGGCCAACTGCGATGCGACTGATCGTCGACGTGAGACAGCTTCCTTGCTAAATCATGCTGGTTCCTTTGGGAGCAGGTTGCATCCGCATGCGTTAAAATAGTCTCTAGTGGGGCTCGTTACCGAAACAGATGCCTGCTGGCTCCAGGATCACTCTGCTTGCCACTGTAGACAGAAAGCCTTATAAACTGCAGAATAAGTAAAAGTACACGCATGCACGGATAGAGAGGTCAAGGCTGCTAGAGGAGAAGTGCGATTTCTGCTCGTGCGGATGGTTTTTCACTGTACAGAAACAGCGACGGCGCACATCTGCTCAAGCCTGATTGATGGAGCTTGTTGCAAACTACGTAGACTACAATGCTGCTAACAGTTTGGCCGCTGTACTGAGATGGTGTGACACTGCCGGTTTATACATACTTCAGCAGCTGCCCGACCAGAATGCAAAGGAAAAGCTCCAGGCAATGTGGTTGAAATCGGCTGTCATGAGAATGATCAAAGTTGAAATGCTGATCCATGGCACGGCTTGGGAAGACACTTTTGTCAACGGCGGTGGCAGTGGAACTGCAGTGCTCGTGAACCCAGTGCTCACACGACTGGGAAACACTAGCTACACACTCCAGACTGAGGTGTTTTTGGCAAGCGGGATGCCGCTAGCAAGAGTGGAGACCGTCATGGTGCAATTGGATGAAGATCTCGAACGGCCTGTACCCGTGCCACGCGAGCAGCTAAAGCCTTTACTCCGTCCCTTGCCGGAACTTGCGGTGCCTTCTTTGGGACAGCCTCCTGCGTCATGCTTTACATGGACTGTCCAAGTCAGGCCATCTGATTGTGATTTGCTGGGTCACATGAACAATTCTAGCTATGCCGTTCTGTTTGAAGATGCGAGGTGTGCTTCTTTGCGGCACACAGGATCAGGAATTGGCGCAACAGACTCACACGCGAGGGCATCAATCGAGTACATTGCTCAAGCAAAAGCCTTCGATGTCCTCGAAATTGCGGTTTGGTGGGATGCTGAGCGCCAGGCCTACGGCCTTTCCATGCGTAACGCTCAAAGCATCGTCGCTCGCGCTGCGCTGTTTCCATTTCACGCCTCTCGTCTTTGACGCGTCCGTTGGAGACAGATTTTTGCCATACCGGTACCGACACTCGGTGATGCTTCCGGGAGCGATCTGCATTTTCTCCTACCTAGCTTGACCATCACTGCATTGTGACATCGGCTCTCCGCTCATAATTGAAGCGGTCCTTTGTTCGCTGTGGTCGGTGCAGGAAACCGGTGGCTTCTCTAGACGAGTCACCGGCGTGTCCAGAGTTAGTGTAGCAAGGGTCCTAAGTCGGATAGAAAAAGCCCATGTCGTGCATCACGACATCTGGCAAGCCTTCAATGCTCCGAGCATGAATCGCTCAGGCTGCATGTCCCCTGCATACTCGTGCAGCCATAAGGCAATAAGGAATGCAAGAAGATGTAGCACGACTACAAATCATAAGCACGCAGTCCTTGCGCTCTGGTGAGATGCGATCCCCATTTTAAATACTTTTCAGCTGCTCAGCCTCATGGGCCTGACCAAGGATCGTAGCCTCGTGATGACCATTGCGAGTGCTGGATGATGCAGGCTATGCTGTGGCCTTAATCTGAGTCTCGATTCCAGCGCAGCAAACGTTCAATGCAGGATGAAACTCCGCGATACATGGCCTCCACAAGCTCCTGGCAGCAGCGTGCGCGAAGCCCAACAGGCGGCCAGCGGCAAGCAGCAAGCTCAGCAAAGACTGCTGTTCGTTGTTCGTTTGTGTCTGTCCGTCTCACATCCGATCGAGCACATTCAGATCCGCCCAGGCCGAGCGAAGCAGGCGGCGACAGTTTTCAACCTCTGGGCAGCTTGAAGGTCTACTGCCAAAGGAGGGAGAGACACAGGAGCCCGCTTCCAGATGTGTGAATGTGCCGTTGAAGTTTTCGCATTGCTCATGGAGCCAGGAGCACCGAGGCAGTCCATCTCTCGAGGCAAGGATGCAACATGATGCAACTCGGTGTGTCTGTCATTTGTCGTTAGCTCAGGAGCTCCAAAGAGTTCAGAAGACCTTGGCTGCGCGGCTAATCAAGCTGGACGAGGAAACGAAAGTGGACAGCCATGACAGCCGTGGCTGACGCCGATTGAGCCGTGCCATGCGATGCCAGGGTCTCCGGGAACGAGATTCGCAACTTGCAGAACTGCGAGTAAGGTACCAGGCTTGTCGATACAGCCGTGTTCTAGAGAAGATACTGCCCTCAAGAAATCTCCTGAAAGTCAGCGTGCAACTGGGATACCAGCGGGTGGTTGCTGCTGGTGCCCATTGACGTCGCATGCATGAGACCTGGAAGGAAGTGCAGAAAACGAACGAGGAGCCGGCGTGCTACAGTGATTACTTTGCATTCCTCAGCCACTGTGTGGGCCGATTCGTTTGACAGAAGGGTCTTCTTCGTCTTTCGCAGGAGTGGCGGAGCCGTGCCTGCAACGCTGAGGAGGACACCGGGCCCTTTTCGGTACTATGCAGTGCAGCTGTGACAAATGTTAGAGGCTAACCATATGAGGTAAATGAAAGAGTTGCAAGCCTGAAGATGGAATGCTGTGGTGGGTCTGTTGCTCTTGTAGTAGCGGTTCTTGCCCCTCAAAATTGAGGTGCTTGCAGTGTGAGAAATGAAGCTTTTTCGAGAAGATCGACCGGGTCATGACTGTAAATAGTCCGAAATTTGTGTTTGGTGACTGCAGTGCTAGCATCGGCCAACAGCGTCCCGGTGAACACGTAGTTGGTCCGCATTTCTTTGTCATGGAAGCCCAGCATCAAGTTGATACTCCTGGAGTTGCGTCGTCATAACAATGACTATGCGATGGCAAACTCGTTTTGCAACTTGCCAGCAGAGAAACAGGCCACTGCGAACCTGGAATCCCAGCTCTCGGTCCAATATATCCTGGCCCCTGTTCGGTCCTGCATTTGCTATTGGTAGCACGATATACGTACAATAGGTGTGCAGCGCTCGCTTTGATACGCTGGCTTCCATTCACCTCCCGGTCGCAGCGTCGCTACGAATCTGGTCTGTATGGGGCTTGTCGGGAAAAATCTCCACGCAGAGACTGCGCAGCTTTGCAAATCTCGCCTGTTCGTGACGCAGCATGCAGAACTCTCGCTGACTGTACGTCCAACATTGAAATCTGGAATAAAAACGACTTCTGGAATAAAGCATGCTGTTATGTCAATTCCGCTGAAAAACAACATGTACTTTCCTTGAATGTACAGGCAAACACGCCTTGGATCAGCCCGGGGAACGCAGGAACTCTTGCGACAGCGACCTCAAGCCCGTTTACAAAGGCGGAAGGAAATTTGACGGCTGATGTAAAGAGATCGGCCAAACGTGATCGGTCGAAATGGTTTAACGATTTGGCATCTGCTGGGGATTGGAAATCACTGAAGAAACTTCGCCGGGCGATTACGCGACATGAAGATGGTCACTTGTAAACAAAAGCCATTCCTGATAAATGGTCGACAGTTTCAGTTGCCATGATAGTTAACACGGACGACCCTGCTGATGCCAACAATTACCGCCCCGCATGTCTTCAGGGCATCGCTTTCTAAAATGTTCGCATCCCTGCTGCAACGGTTTTTTTTTTTTCTGGATGCTGGTGTAGATCGCGGATTGTGGAAGTCTCAGTCTCAGTTTTGTTTTCGGAAGCGACACTGTACCGGAGATGCAATTTTCTTGGCTTTGCTGTGGATTGAGAAGGCTTGTGCACCGCGAAATGCTCAAATACGCCTCTTAGCCTGCGAGTGGAAGAAAGCTTTCGGCACTATCAGAATTGACAGCCTCGACACGTTACGCCGTGCTGGTATTCCAGACTTCTGCTTGGATACGATCTCGTCCATGATGCTTCACCGAAACTTCAATGTGATTGAGCGAGGAATCATTTCTGCCACAGGGTCACAGTTCTGGCATTCACAGGGTTGCACGCTGAGCCCACTGCCGTTCATCATGACAATGACAATCTCGATCATGATGCAGTGTGCCAATTTGATGCACCACCTGCAATCGCGTACGAAGAGGGAAGTTGGCAAACGTTTTCTATCAGATGACACGCAACTTCTCGCGACTTCCGATGGTCACCTGCCAGAGTTCCTTTCTAGAGTCGCCGATGCTGGAAAGTTATACGGCCCGGAGCTTCACTGGAGCAAGTTTCAATTGCTTTCGGTTCAATGCAGAGCATGCGTTTGCATCGAATCGACACCTGGCACAAGATATCCTGGACACGAGCTTGGTCGCCGCATCGGGAACGCAAAAGCAGACTTTGCTGATTCGCAACGAATTGGGAAGCATTTTTCATTTCCTGTTCATCGGAAGGTTCATATTTACAAAACTGAGTCTGCATGCAAACTTTACTGATGTGCGGCTTGAGTTGTTTCTGTCTTTCTGCAGCCGAACGTCGACGCTTGGACGGTTCCCAAAGCCAATGTGTTTGTCGTGGCACTGGCATTCCACCTTCCTTCTTTCCCATGTTCCAAGCAAGGCTGTTTTACATCGGGCACGCTGCAACAACGTTTCTCACATCCTCGTACAACGCCAGCTGCTTTTGTTCGGCAATGTTTTAAAATCTCCACCCGACCACCCTTTGTACGTATCTGCGAACCTGCTACAAGCATGTCAAATGTGAGGAGAGCAGGCCAACCGAGACGGGAATGGGTTTCTGAAGTAGTAGGAAGTAGAGTCAAGTAGAGTTGTTCATCATCATTTGGGCGTCCACCCTGAGGTTGCCAGACCCGTCCAAATGACCCCACTGTCTGGTATCGAACGGTGCGGCAAGCCATACCCGTCCACGTGTAAATATGACTGACTGACCTGACTGAGTCTGACTGACTGAAACATATGAGAGTTTGACTGCCGCCGAAGAGGGAAGGTGTCCCAAGCCATCTGGGCTGTGCAGCACGATGACTACAGATTTTGGATATGCGCATGTCGTCTCCGTGGTCGTCGTTGTTTTGATGCTAGTTGCTGCAAGCACTGGCAACCGTTGCCGCACCAATGCTGGTGTGCAGGAGATGGCCGTGCTTCGGCGCATGTTGGAGGAACGGACGGAAGAGATCCAGAGGCGGGCAGAGACGTGCGTCAATATATAGTAGACAAGCTGGTCGTCAGCACGAAGATTTCCGTCGAAGCGAGACTTGATCGTGCAGCATGATTCCGGCAGGAACGCTAGCTTTTTCCGGATTCACTTGGGGGGTTCATAGAACAGGCTTTCAGCATGCACAGGCCAGATCGGCTGGGTGTTGATGTGCTGATCGATGCTGTACTGCACGTCACGCTGGATCATGCAGAGTATTCCCTGGCGTTAGGGACACGAACAGTTGACACGACATGACGAAGCTCCCCACCACTTCCTCCGGACAGACAAAACTGAGTAATGTGACGAACTCGGACACCAAATTGCTAAATGTTTTAGCGCCTGTCCTTTTTGGTGTTGCTTTACTCGACCAACGAGCAGCATCACACGAAGTGCCACAGGTCTGGAAAAGACGGAACGGATAGCCGACAACTACGGTGGATTGTTCCAATGCCTGCGCACGAAGCTCACTTCGTGGAAGTAGATCAGGGAAAGGAGAAACATATTAAACCACTCAAGCTGCGTTTGCATCGGCCGTGCGGAGAGCAAGGGCGACTCTCCGCAGCGACTCTGGCTTGTTCGCTGTCTCTGTATCAGCTGCAGCTGCAGCATGTCCTGGTCAGGTTGCAGAGCCAACTGTCGGAAGCGGTGGCTGGGCACCGAGCGGCAGCGGCCTGATGTCTGGTCACCACATCGATCGGATGTATCCTATGGAACACTGTTGCATCTCGCAGCCTCGCAGCCACCCGGATTCCACGACCTTCTGCACCGCAGCGATCGACAGCTTGCCCATTTTGGTTAACCTGGTGCTGTCTTACGCTCTGGAACGTCTTGGATCTCCAGGCTTGCATAACATTTGACATGTGGAAGAGGATGTCTTTCCAGACAAGAGAGGCACACAGCACCGCTTCCGCGCAAAATGCCAGAATTCCTTTCAATTTCCCATGGGTTCAGAGTGAAGTAGTCGAGGGTTTAGGCTTTTCAAGTTGCCAGGAGTCCCTTGCTTTGCTGCGCTGCGGGACCAGGTACCATGAGCTGCCGCCGTCCGACATCAAGCAGGCCTTTCAGATCTCATCGGAAATGTGCAGGGAGTCAGACTTCTGAGCCGAAGTGGGAGACGTACTTGTAGGGACTCAAGGGCAGCGTGAAGTTAAACGTCAACAGAACAAGCCATTACAACAAGCCTGCTTCATGTGGATCATCCTTAAGCAAGCCTCGATCAAACGGGGCCCATGACCATTTGTTTGGCTACTCCATCTGATGGAGAGTGAGGTCTTGGCATGGTTTTCCGTGGATTGCTGGGCTGCCCAATTTAGTGGCGATGCATGTTCGCCCATGGACTGCTATAGATACTGTCTCCATGAAGTGGGGGTCTAAGCTGGCCGAGGAATCAAAGAGATCAGATCAGTGAGGGATCCATTTGGTTTCTCGTGCCCTCCTCCTCCACTCTTTTTTCTCCTTCAGCTGCGAGCGAAAGTCTGCGACCAGTTTGAACGTGCCGATGTCTCCTTGTAAATCCGAAGACGAGAGCAGATTCTGACATGGCTCCGAAGGCTTTGAGATGGTACAGACGAGGGGCGCGGATGAATCACAAAGGGTCTACCACAATGCCAGGGCCCTGACGAACCTTCTTGAACTCTATGGAGCAAAGGTCGACGGGAGGGTGTCCCGTAGTGTATGCGCGGCAAGGCTTGGCAAGCTGCACTTGGCTGCTGCGCGGCGCCGAGAGAATTGCACACTGTGGAACACCAGTCTTGCGATTGTGGTTGAGGGCTGCGAGAAGTTGTTGTTTCTGACATGCTTTGAGTGCTTTATCACAAGGGCCAGAAGGAAAAGGCGCTGCACTTCCTGCAGCGGACGGGGCTGCCACAGCGGAGCCATGGCCCTGTGTGCAAAAACTGTTGGCCAGTGCATCCAAAGCAACACGACGAAGCGAGAAAGGCTTGGAAACACCGAGAACTTTGCGGCGGTCTGATGTCTTGGACAGAGGTTGTGCGAGAGAATGTGTGTGAGTGGATCGACGATCGCGCACCTCCTTGCAGGTCACGGTGGAGAGAGGGGCGACTCCCTGGCACAATGGCAGGCGACCCAGTCCGGTCGTGCGGGTTCTTACACCACCGGCTGAGCCGTGCATGTCGCAAGCACCTCCTGACTCAGCGTAAGGTTTCTTGGCGAGCTTTTCATGCAGAGTGCAAAACTCCGAGATGCTGCTGGGCGCAGAGACTTCCCGGCCCTTGGCTCCTGCACAGTTCAGTGAAGAAGCATGTTAAGCTGTGCATGCCCAATGCTGCGTCTGGGATCAACATCAGGGCTGCAGGTAGGGACCGTCACTTCGCTTCCCTACCTCGGATCATGGCACCCCGTGGATGGCCCGCACGTAAAAGGGTGCACCATGTGGCAGGAAAGAGAACCACATATCAGACCGCGAAGACCATGGCAGTTGGATCTGGATTGATGGGCGGATTATTTGGACCTACCGGCAGCGATTTTGCACTGCAGGCGCAGGTCCGATCAAAGGATCAGTACATTCCAACAGCTGCTGCTGAGGATGTCCGGCATAGTCGGGTGGAGACACCTCCAAGCCGATACAGCATGACAGACCTCGATCTGCGAGTTCCCTCCAGCACCAAGCTCATGGGCCATTTGACGCGGCTCCAGGATGAATTGCGAGGATGCATTTCTGCTCAGCCTTTGATACCATCTGATCGGTTGCTGAATCAAGCCCTTCAAGTTGAGATGCCGGGGGTCAGTATGTGGAGCTCTTCCTGCATACCAAATTCTGGTAGCATTGGTGTGGGCACAGGGGGATCCTTCAAAAAGGATGACCGTTCAAATTTAGATGCACAGCCAGATGCCGACGTGGACTTCTACGGCTTGGAGAGTCATCTGGAAAGTTCTGTTGCTCGGGAATCTTTGCGCTACAATCCGGCATGGAGGCCCGAGCTTTGCAACGCTTGTGGCTCGTGTGTGCTGCGGCTGCGAAGTATGCAGATTTGGCATGACAAGCTAGACGGGATTGCAATGCGGGAGGTGCCCGTGCACATCTGATACAGCTGCGTCAGCATGCAGTATTATGTGGATCGTCGGTATTGGTTGTTTTCTTTCGTCATCGTTCGCACCACGGATATGATTTGTACGTGCGGACGAAGCAGAGTCTCAGAGCGAGCATCCGGGAGCGGCCGAGAGAGATAGAGAGATAGATAGAGAGAGAGAGAGAGAGAGAGAGACTCGGTAGTCACACCGGACACAGACCACAGGCGTTGCGCTCGCGCGCGGGGGTTGTGGGGACCGACCCCATGCCCCATACGCCCTGCAAGCAAGCAAGCAAGCAAGCAAGCAAGACTCGGTAGCCGTAGCCATTTTGGCTCAAGGTGTCTACATCGATTTAGCCATTTTCGACGTCCTTGCGAGCTCGAGGGGGAGGTTGCGGGGGAAAGGCTCATACTGTGTCCACGAGACCGGATCCCCCACCTCTCCGTGAAAGTAAACCGTTGTCTAGCGGGGGCGCCTTGAAGCCATCACAAGCACATCGTAAAGAGCGTGATACTTCTTCAACTGCTCAAAAGGGGAGACTGCAGGACCTTGCTCGGGGGCTTTTTGGAGTCCGATAACCCGCTCTTCTCCTTGCAACGCTGTTCTCAAAGCACCTTCGGACTGGACGGGGAGCCCTTCATCTACCTGATCGTGATAGTGGCAGGAAGGGCGAGATCAAGATCTTCCTGGTGGGCTTGGTCCTCCTTCTTCATTTTGGGGGGAATGGCAGTTGCAAAGAGTGACGCGATTTGCCGCATATGCAGGCAGGGGAAGGGGAAGTGCATCCCCGGCTTTCGCAAGACACACGTTCGTGCAGATCCGCTATGTCGCCTCCATGGTGAAACGACCCGACAAACTTCCCGGACAGCTCGAAACAGCATGGGGGGAACCACGAAAAACTACGTCAAGTACCGCTGGCGGGGAACACGTCCCTACGATGGGGGAGCCTGGAGGGGCTTCATCGACGAGTTCACGGACAACCGCTTCACGCGGATCACCCGCCCTCTCATCCGGGGGACGGCTTCGGCTTCGTGGACAGGACCAGCAGAGCCGGAGAACACAGGTACAGGCGACCGGGGGACTTCACAGCCCTACTATCATGCCCTTCTCGGGCGTTACTACAGCGAAGTGGAGATGGAACAAGTACAGCCGGATATTGAGGAAGCAACCAGACAAAAACGGGTGTGGCAAAAAAGCCCGTCAGCTGCTGCTATATTACCGCACACATGGACGTCACCCGCAGAAGCTGGCCTACGATATACACTGCGTGGACATACTGCTCGAAGAAGCCAAGGACCGCTGCGGGGAGATCCCGCCAGAGACGAAGAGAGGACCCACCGGATGTACTGGAGTTCTGGCACGAACGGAGGGACGCCCTCCTGAGGTCACCCACCCTCGCAGCAACGACGCCCTCGGCCTTGACTGACAGCGACCAGGACTCAGAAATCGCCAACTGCAGGGGGAGGCTTGCTCGCTTCCCCCCTGTGGGGGATGTGGAGGAAACCGACCCCAGTGACAGCGAGCCTGCACATGCCGACCTGGGGGAAGGGACTATGTCGCGAAGCGTACCTATGGAAGATGTCCCCGCAAAACTTGGTTTTTCCACACCTCGGCGGAATGGCCCCTGTCACAACAAAATGGCCGGAAGGGAAAGAGCGACCACGTTCACCTCTACCAGGTCGAAGAACGAGGCCCGGATCACCCCTGCCGAGACGCAAGCCACAGCAATGTATGAGCCAACGGATGGCTTCTGATCCTCGTGTGTACGCGGGCCGCAGCAAAAAAACTTGGAAAGTAGAGAGCAACCTGAGGTACCGAGACAAGCGGAAGAACAACCGGCGACGTGCAAAAGCGGGCAGCGGAGCCTTCAAGTGACAGCTGGGGAGACGCTGAGATGTGTATGCGCAGTGAGTGGCAAAAATTCGTGTGCACAGTGCTGATCCAGGTGTAAGGGGGAAGCTGGGATCTTGTTCTACTTAGTGTTGCGACTTTCGGATTTCAGATGCCCCGCCCCACGCAGTCCAGAACTGATCTGCTCCTTTTTGTCGGGGAGCCTGCAACCCGCGCCGCCCAATGACCTTTTCAATGGTGGCGTCGGCCACCCACCTCTGAACTTTTTGCAAACCTCAGATTTCCGTGAGGCACTCTTCCGCAGGAGATGTGTAATCTGATTTGTAATCTGCCTGCATATTGCAGTCAGCGCCTGTTAGGCAACCCATCCGTCATGAGTCATGGCTAAATTTCGTACAATGCATGCGTCGATACTTAATCATGGGGGAAGCTAACTTCCACCGACTAAATTTTTGTTAAACCCCCTGAGGTTTGTGGAATGAAGGAGGGAAATCTGCGCGTCTTCAGTATTCGTTCTTTATAACCAGTATGATCGGCCCTCGTTCACACACCGTAGTTACTGCAACATGAGAGCGTACACTCGTCATCTTTCCGATATTGCACAGTTTATGGCTTCTAGTCTTCAGACGAGTTACACTCGTTTCTCACCCCCTCAACCGTTCTAAACGCGAACGGGTGGGCTCTGAAGCCCGGGGGCGCTGACCTGCCTCCATGCCCAAGAGAGAAAGGAAGACTAGGTACAGCACTGCCCGAAACCCACCGGCCTTTCCTTTTAGGCCCCTCAACCCAGTGCGTGCATGCGCGCGCAGGGGGGGGTGGCGTTCGCTACTTGCCTTGGCTGTGCGGAAGAAAAAAGAGACGGAGAGGGCATTGATGGGCATAGTACTCCCAGCACAACCCTGGCGACAGAAAGAGGGTTCATTGGGAGCGAAGGGAATGTCTTCGGGAGGCACCTTCCAAAAAAGAGATAAAAAGAGCAGAAGAGAGAGCATGGGTGCGCACCGGCGCAGGAGGGTCTTTGTTCCGTGCTCCCCGAACGGCAGACTCAATGCAGACTCCACCGCACACGACTGGAACATGTGGCCTGGTTCGTTGACCCGACGTCAGCGGCTTCAGTCCAAAGTCCTCTGGGTGAAGCCCGGTGGTTTGGACACAAACCGCTGCTCTCATGTTGAGAGGCAAGCACAATCCGAGCCTGATCCTAGAAGAGGTGCCTCCGCTACTATCCAATTAGCTGCATCATGGTAGGATCACGACATACGTCGTTCTACGGCATGGTTAGTGAACCGCGATTACGACAAGGTTTCGGTGCCAGGCGATGTGCCTGAGTGAACAGACAGTAGCAAGTGGCAACCCGTCGAGCAACAGTGTTCTGACCTGCCGGGCGACATGTGGTCCGAAATTCTCGCAGGTGCACGGCTGCGTTTGAGCATTTTGTGGGTTAGCAAGCTGCTAAGCTGGGATTCGTTGATGCCTGCTGCATAGGGTCTTACAGGTCAGGTAGGGAGAGCTGTGCACTCGAGAGAGCAAGTCTCTGGGACCTGAGTGGATGTTTTGCCGGACCGCCTGCTGACTCCCGAAAGATGCTCTCAATTGCACGGCGCCGTGATCTAAAGGATCTAAATCTAAAGGTGCTCAAACCGAGATTGCAGCGGGATGCACGCAAGAAGAACTCGCCACTGCCCGCTCCCGGCGAGAAGAAACGTTGAAGCTTCCAACGTAGGGCAACAACTCTTAAGTTCATAGTAAGGGTTGGTGAAGGTGACATGGAAACCTCTCGACATAGTATCTCGACAAACCAGCCGACGGATTTGGCCTTCTCAGAAGCTCAGAGCTTTTGCTGCAACGACCTGCATAGTGCCTGGGCTTCTGCATCGTGCACGCTGGAAGGAAAACAACGGGCGTGACATCACAGACCTCGTCGCCGGTGAAGCCTCTGTGCCGGACTCACTGTCATGGTCAGTTCTTTCTCACGACCAAGCAGCCGAACCCGATGACCTGTTTTGCGGGCTTCTCCAAGGCCGCTGGAAGATGGAGTCGCAGACGACGTGTGCTTTGAGAAGGACTTTATGTAGGAAGCATCCTTGCCTCTGTGGTCGGACAGTTTCCTGAAAGCGAAGGTTGTTATCCTTTTGGTTCTTCCACTTTGTTGTTGTTGGTGCTCCATGCTTGGCATGCACCGGCCTGCTAACACCTTGCTCCTAACAGGACCGTCGTTCCCTTGACATGGACACATGGATGTGTCCAGGCGCATTGTTTGCACTATGTTGTGGTCGTTCTGCATCTGTCAGCATCGACGGTCGGTTAGGGTGGCACGATGCTGATGTTGTATTCATCTCGCACATAGAATCTTGGAGTGCATGTCGCAACTAAGCATGACAAGGAGTCTGATGGCACCAGCATAGGAACAGTCAGATATCGAACGCACAACGTAGTCGTCAAGGGCAGGACCGCAGTGGGCTAGCTCTTGTATTGGTGGATTCTAGGTCAGCTGTAAAGACTGAGGCAGGGCCAGGTCTCACCTGTTTATCGCTGCTCATCTCAAACGTATCTCCTATGAAAGAGAAGCCCGGCTATAGTTTAAAACACTGGAGACATCCCAGAGAGCCACCAAGTTGCTTCATGTCGCAGCACAGCAACATGCAATGGCGCAGCGGTTAAGACTAGCACTGTGGTATGGGGGCTAGCGACCTCAGACGCGATCGAGAGAATGCCATCGACAGATGCTGTTCCGAGCCTTTGCTGCAAGGCAGTGGCACATGAGGTTTCTTCCGGGCCTTTGAGACCTGAATTCAGGATATCGAAGCAGCAGACTTTGTAGCCTTGGACTTTGAGTTCTCCGGGCTGTTTTTGGATGAGAGTGGGTCCAGACATTCGTCTCTGGAAAAGTATTTTGCCAAATGCATTGCCAGCATCCCCCAGTTTTTGCCACTGCAGCTGGGACTATGTTGTGCTCGGCAACGGCTGTCAGACAAAGTCTGGGAATTACGTTCCCACGAATTCAACCTCTGGCCGTGTTCACGGCGGTTGTTCATGTCCGACTTCAAGTCGCTTCGGTTCCTGAGAGAGAACGGCTTTGATTTCAACACGTACCTGGATACCGGGTTCTCATACTCCCGGCTACCGGAGGCTCACCAACCGAAGAAGGCCAGAAGGTTCAATGCTAATCAGCTAATACAGGCGCTGGAGGACAGCAAAGTTCCTTTGGTCGTTCACAATGGATTTCTGGACCTGCTGCACTTGTTTCATGGTTTTATTGGAGACTTGCCAGGTGAGTGCTGGGACTTCTTTGGAAGTTGGCTTGCACACTTTCCGACGACTTTCGACACGAGACTGCTAGCGCAGGAGGGACAGTACAAGATCTTGAGGGGTAGTGGGCTTACGTTGGAGGCTTTGCACGAGCAGCTGAGCAGATCCGGATCAGGGCCGGGTGTGCGGATCGAATGCCATGGGCCACTCGAAGAGGACGGTCCGTGTCACGGTTCCTCGGGACACGACGCCCTCCTGACTGCCAAGGTGTTCATCTGGGAGCTGGATTGTTGGATCCATCTGGATACTGTCGAGTACGAGCAGAAAAAGCAGCGGAAGAAGCGCATCAGCGAGCTTGAGAATGCCCTTCTTCCCTTGAGCTGGCAGGAGATTCACCAGCTTGCCGAGGAGGTAGGTGTCAGCATCTACCGCTCGATCGTAAACGGACGCTTTGGTGGACCACATGGTGCCCGACGTCCACTAGCTGAAATCCGCACGGCCATCGTGGCTGTGCAGTACGACTCTTGTCGAAGCCAACTGCTTTGCTAATCTTAGCTGGAGCTGATAAGTTAGCTTTCATCAGAGTTCTAGAGATGCTAAAGACGGCCAAGGCCAAAGAAGTTGACGATCAGAGGTGTCAGGGGCAGGCCGGCCAGCAACGATGAGCTGTTGTCCTTCGGCTGTTCGGGATGCAAGCACCGGGCACATTCGGGTCAGAAGTACGAGTTCGACCAACACCAAAGAATTCGTGGCAAGTCTTCTCGCACGCGGCGGCGGTGCATTTCAAGGTTCTGCAGTTTGTACAGCTCTTCTATGGGGCTTCCTCGAACTTAAAGTATCATGATATGTTGCATAGGGTTCGTAGAAACCCTCTGCACTCTGAACATAAACGTCATCGACAAGAGGCAGTCCCCACATCGACCGGCATAGGCTAATACAGGTTGTGTACCCGAAGTCGAGTGCCAACCACGGCCAACCTGAGCTGAACAGCTACTACTTTGCCATCGGAACGGTGTTTCGCTGTCTAGTTTCCAGTTGTGTCCTTGGCGCCCTCCCCACTCTGCACTCTCACCTGAGTCCTGCAACTGTCCTCTGTCCATCTCTGTCCAGTCCTTGCTACATGGACGGACCCCAAAGTAGACGAGTAGACCCCCTTCAGTGCCAAGACCTGCGAATCTGGACAAGCGGCCTGACCCGATCTCCCGTGTTCTCGGGGCATATGACAGGCTGCATGCGATTTGCCCGGCCGCACGAGCGAGACCAGTGCTGCTCTGACAGCAGATCTCCTCGTCTCGCACAAGGCACATCGCAGCACCTGTTGGAATCTTTGCGACACCCGTGTTGTGTTCAGTCCTCCAACCATAAGCGCTTACTTATGCTCATGCAGTATCATGCAGGTATGCAAGAGGTTTCGGAATTGCCTGGCTGTCGTGGGTGCCATCAGCAGCATTTAGTCACCTTCGTTTCCCCCGCACGTGTTTGTCTTCGACAGTGACATCTGAGGTGCTTCTCCTGGCCATATCTGTTTAGATGCCATTGCTGCTGCAGGAATTGCCAAGACAGCAGATGTTGGCATCGAAAATGCCTGTGCTGCGTTGAGATTGCATGCGCGGTGCTTCCAAACAGCAGTTGCTTTGCATCGTTGAGCTGCACCTCGACTTTGACACGCCAGCACTCTTTACTTTTAGCATGATGTCTCGAACAGCAGGTGATGCCTTCAGAACGGAGAGGAGGCCGTCTCCGACTCTCAAATTTGGTTTAATCGCTTGCTGCCAGCCAGATTGCAACTGACGCTTCTGAAGTCTAGCAGTGGGTCGGCGCATGCACAGCCTTCATTGGCATCGGGTTGGAAGCTGGGCGACTGCCTGACTCTGGGAAATCGCCTTTGTGCAGTGAAGTTCCAGTGGAGGTCGGTGCAGGCAAGGCGTGGTGCGGTTCGGAGACCTGACGTTCACTGTCAGGACGAGCTGTTTGGCAGACATACCGTGTGTCAGCAGGAAGTTGGAATCTGTTTGAAGACCCCATGTGAGGATGATGAAGCAGCATCTTGTCGGCGGCCAGGCTATACTTCGCAGTCCTGGGATTTCACCTCTGACCTCGGGCTGGGGCTAGGACCACGCTGCCGAAGCCGGCAGTGACTTTCAATTCAGGTTCAAATGCTGCAGAGGGATCTTGAATCCTAATGTGCAGGTTGCATGCAGCAAGCGAGCTTGGACCTGGCGGGGTAAAAAGATCTCAGCATCTGCAGACTGAGCATATGATAGCATGGAGAAGGTGCAGCATAATTAAGAAAACAAGTGTGAGGTCAAATGGTGGAAGCTGTCAGCTGAAAATGGAGACAGCGATGCCATGATGCGTTTGTCGCAGGCCATCCGTTCCGGACTCACAGATTGGAAGCTTCATGTTTGAGATTCCCAGTTAGTCCTGGTTGTGCGAGCCTTTGGTTTCCTTGGACCCGATGCTCAACGTCTCCCTGCATTTCTTGTCGGCTCAAAGTTGGTGCTCTGCACTACACGCAATTCCCGCGCTCACTGTACTCCTGACTCTCGAAGTCCACGACTAGCCCCTTGAACTGCAGATTAGCTTTCTGTAGCCCCTGATGGCTGCTCTGTCTCTGTGTGTTGTTTTTCGAGCTTAGCCTTGAGGCAAACTACTACCAATCACTTTGCACAAGCCTGGACCCAAGCCGAAAGCCTTGGCAGTGGCAGTGCTCCGCGAAGGGCACCTCTTTCGCAGAGAGGTGACACGATGATCGAAACTCTCCATACTTTGTATGAGGCGCGAAGCACTTGGGAACAGAGTCATAAGGACCAGTATTTACCTGCCCATGACCGTCCGTGGTGCCGTGTGCAGCTGCATTCAGTCGATGTGATCAGCCGCGGTCTTGGTACTCCACGTAGCTCCAAAAGTGAATCTCCAAAAGGATTCGGAGGGTCGCAGCAGGGACTAAACTTCCTGGAAGCAGCAGCTTGCGTCGCAGATGTCGCGCATCGTCGTGCCATCGACCCTTTGTCGGCATTCTCGTCGTGCACACCGATATACACCGAATCGACCCCCGGAATCTTCCACAACTGCATTCCAGTGCCCAAAAACCCTTGCGAAGATTTGCGAAGCCACGCTACTAGCAGTTCATGGACATGTCATTCGATGTGGCTGCCGTGTGGTGCCCTCGAGACTCCTGTGTGCAATCCAAATGCAACGTGCCTTAGACCGCGGTGCTCGATTGGCCAAGCATTCAACCAAAATTTCAACACAGCCAACGTGCATGCGGCAGATTGTGCTCATGGCCAAGCTGGAGATTGCCGTCTTCATATTGGCCGCAGGTGCTCTCACCGTTTTCTTGCGCACTGGGGAATCTGCTGGGCCTAACCTGAAAACTCTTGATTGCTTCTGGTTTCTTGTTGTCATATCCGAGGCCTTCATTTTCTCTTGTTCAGCAACTTGGCGCTCCGACGCTCGCAGTCCAAGCAGACGACTCAGCTCGGTATCAGCCACACACTTGCTGCGCGAGATTGCGCGACCAGGCCCCCTCGAAGCAAGAAGCTGGATGATTCAGGCAAGGTCGGTGCCTGCGGCAAAGACTCAGAATGACTCCGTCGTGCCGTGACTTGCAAGGCGATGGACTGACCGGAGAGGCCCCTTCACAGAAGGACAAATCTACGACGTCTCCATCTGCAACTGTTCAGCGCGCAATCAAGCCGCTGCTGCGTCCGCGTCACAGAGACACAGTCCTTGCGAAGGATGCGTAGAGGCCTGTGCTGCACTCGGGAGGCTCTGGTGCAAAGGAGGCTGCACTTAAGGATGAGGTCAACCGTGTACTCGACTCGCTCAAGGCCGTGCCGTCGCAGCTGCGAGATTTTGGAAAATGTCGCATGTGACTCAAACCGGCGGAGGTCCCAGAAGCAGAACGCGAGGAAGTCCTTGCTGATGTATTGGATGGCGGGAACCGGAGGGTTTGTAGGTGATATCCTGTCATGCTCCATGACTTTCTGGTTGAAGGTCTTGGTCGTCATGCTGAAGCTGAGCTGCTTGCAGCTGCAGGGGACTAAAGCTGCCGGCTCGTATCGTCTTGTCTTTTTTTAAACTGTGCTTTCCCGCACTCCAAGAGGTTCGTGCTCTGGTTCCGAAAGTCACGACCTGGAGGATGGCCGAGCACCTCCTCCGCCGGGCTCCCACTTGGGCTCGCTTAAAGGACAGCGGCAAATGCCACACATGCGCGCACAGGGCACAGAGGCATACGGCGCCTGATTTCGCAAGGTTTCGTCGGCACCAGAGCACCCGGAGACGTCGAGGCACTGCTGGCAGAGGCTCAGAGCTCAACATCGCTGCTCACATTGTGTCTTTTTTGCTAGTCAGGTCTCCACGTAGGCAGTGATGAGGCGATTTGTTGTTTTGGCGAGTTGCGCGACCAGGTCGAGTCACACCACGTTGATGCCAAAGAAACACTCCCACATGGTGTCGCGGCGCCTCGGCGTGGTCCCTTCAGCGATCGTAATGATAATCTTCAAAGAGGATAAAGAGGTCTTGCACTTGATGTCGTCGTCTTGGCCAAACGTTCAAAAACTTTCATAATTAGAAGCGTCCCGGCATCTTGGCGGTATCGGCGTAGCAGTGTCTTGAAGACAGAGGATGTGGATACAGGGCAGTTCAGGACCAAGGCGAGATTGATGTTAGTTATGTTGAGTCAATCTACATTGACTTCTAAAGGTGCGCTAAAGCCAGCTCTGAGTTCCGAGAAAGTTTTGACGTGGTTTACATGAATAAACCAATTGCCGTAGCCATCCAATGACGATCAACATCAAGGTCTCGGACCTTGGTGAAGAATTGCCCCGCACTGTGCGAGAATGTGCAGGTTTCCTGCCACCAAGCCTTCCACCGCATCCTTGACACTGTCGTGAAGACCGATGTCGACCGATGCTGGGTGCATGGCTTAAAGCTCGATCGGTTTAGACTGCATTCGTTTGGCAAAGATGCCGTTGGCATCCGTTGCCCAGGATGTGCTAAAGCGCATGGAGGCGCTCGCAGTGATATGGGGGAGAAAGCAGAACGAACAACTCATTAAATGCTTTTTTCCAGTGCACGTGAAGGCACTTGGCCTGTCGCCGAACAATGTCACGTGCTCCATTCTGCTCAAGGGCGTTCAGAAGGGAATGCAGGAAGCTGTTCCCGTGTCGACATAATAAGAAAACAGTCCGATCCATCAGTGGATGAGGAGGGATATCTGCAGAAAGTGATGAAGATCATCGACGCACGTGAAGTCAAAGACATGGACGAGGCTTCGGATTGCACAGCTGCTGCGACGTCAGTCAAACGTGGCAGTTTCACAGGTCTTGCTGGGATCCCTCTACGAAGCATGTATTCGTTGCGGTCAAGCACCTTGAATCCAATCGATTGTCTTGTGGTGTCAAGGCAGCTGCTGTCGGTCCTAGTTGGAGCGATGAGGGCAAGAAGAGCGACATATGTCTCGTGATAGCGGCTGTTGATTGCGATTCAGGGGGAGGGCAAGAATGCTTGCTCTTTCTGGTAGAAGCCGAGGTCCAATACCTTCTGAACTATGTCAAGCGTCTTCGTGAAGAGAGCGGCTTCGTTCAGGCTGCTGCGATCGAAAAGCCGACGATCGACATTGAGCCTAATTGAGTTCCTTCCGCGACTCAGGTCCGCAGCGCGCACACGGTGGGCTCCATCATCCGTGCCTACGGCGCAGCAGAGGACTCTCGAGCCTCTTCGGGCGTGACAAGTTTGGAAGGCACATCAGCCGCAGTTGTAGTTTTACTGCCTGGCTAGCTCGCACATGAACCGAGAGGACGTGGATGGAGTTTGGGCCACATGGAATGAGATGAAGCGGAAGCAGATCCAGCCGACAAGGATCACGTTAGGCTGCATGGTGGAGGCCGGGCTTCAACTCGTAGCTACGAGAATGTCAGAGTTATTCAATTGCTCCTGAATCGCAGGCTCTGGCTTCCAACAATGATGCTGAAGGCCAGTTGTCCGGGAAGTCGCAAGACGGATCCTATCCTAAACCGAGCTGAACATGTCGTCACATCTGATCTGGCGAGTTCAATGCTCCCGCAGAGGTGCCTACGAGATCATTCAGCAGGCCGCATGAGTGAACACCCCTGGGCTAGCAAAGCAGCAGAACAGGGAATTGATCATTAATCATACGAGATCCGTGTGTACAGGCAGTGCAAATCGCTTCACATAAGTTGTCAAGAGCGGCCGGAACCGTGTGGAACGCTTTCGTCGCGTCCACAGAACCTCCATCAGCACGATGCCGTCAGAGTTTCAGATGCTGTTGCGACCCATCGCGGGGCTACGCATGTGCCCACACGATCCCCGACACACACAATCGCACGCACACATACACAGATACACAGATACACACACACACACACAAATCTCGTGGATCAGGGACTATCCGCTCATTCAGCTCCGTAATAGCCCTCTGCAGACGCACGAATTGAAGTCCTGAACCTGACCTTTAGATGCTACTTGTAGTTGTAGGGTCATGTTTCATGGTGGTATTGTTTTCCGTGCCGAAGCTGCGCTCAGAGTGGGCATGTTGTAGCCACGGGGAAGGGCTTCACTCTAAGGGTTCTTGTTACTTTGAAAGGGGATGCCGTTGTTTCGCACTGTTGGTAGGTGGCCAATGCCGGAATTTTCGATGCTTGTCTTCTCTCTCCTTGTATCAAGAGTCCGGGTTAGTCTTTGCCGCAGAGGCACAGGCGCCTCTACACACACTCAAGCCCCACGGAAGTACCAACAGTCTCGAGAGGAGAAAAAATTTACAGTCCTTATGTCCTGCCTAGCAGGTCAACACCGCGGAGTCTGTGTGACGGTTATTGTATAGGCTAGTCATGCTGCTTTTGTCGCGAGGCACTGGCAGATCCAGAAACCGCGACCTTGGTCAATGCAGCACCTTGTCAGAAGATGGAGCGGAGAGATGCAAGACGGAAATGCAGAAGCCTGCCCCTGACTATGAAGCAGACACCAGGTCACCTACAGCTCCGTCCTCAAGAGCTTCAATCACCAGAAGCGCTTTCATCGTGTTTGGGAGGTTTACGAGGAGCATACAACACGTTGTGCTTTGTGTGCCCAGCTGTGTGCTCGTTCTGCGTACCGGGTGCGCCTTCCCCGTCTCTCTCTCTCTCTCTCTCTTTCTCTCTCTCTCTCTCTCTCTCTCTCTCTCTCTCTCTCTGTCTCTCTTTCTCTCTCTCTCTCTCACTTCCGCTCACTCCCTGTACAAGCAATAGCTGAATAGCTGTACTTGTAGCTGATGATGTCGCCAAAACCGCGGGAATGCGATGCAGCAGTGTCGTATAAGACTGCAATCAATTCTTAGATTGTCGGGTTGCGTAGGCGGAGTGGTGGAAAGGGAGCCTAGGAAACGGATTTAAAGGTTTGGCATAGTGGCAGCAGCACGTTCACATTTATCGACAGACCTAGGCGGCAGCCAGTTGCGGTGCAGTTGCAGTGGCGGCCTGTTATGGCATGGAAGATATCAATGAGACGAGCCTAAGCTGACAGGAGATGATAAAGCAGAAAGTCGAGTTTTCCGTGACGACATACAATGCGCTGCTGGATGCGGCGGGCTCATAATGCAGTGCTTCAGTTAGCTTTATGACAACGGCACACCCGGGGACGTGACCAGTCTTGTGCGAACCAGCCTGGCTGTCGCGGGTTCGTAAATGGAATCTGTGCGGTAACAGCGAGCACAGCGGGCAGCGAGCATGACGCATTCTGATACTTTAGGGTAAACTTTAGGGCCCTTCCGTTACCCCTCCTAACAAGACGTCCGTGCAACTACGAAAACCGGAAGGGCTGTAGGAAGAACGGAAATTTGCAGTAGCAGAAGCAGTAGCGGCAGCAGCGGTAGCAGGAGTAGTCTTAGTAGTCTTAGTAGTAGTAGTAGTAGTAGTAGTAGTAGTAGTAGTAGTAGTAGTAGTAGTAGTAGTAGTAGTAGTAGTAGTAGTAGTAGTAGTAGTAGTAGTAGATGTATAGTAGTATAGTAGTATAGTAGTATAGTAGTATAGTAGTATAGTAGTATAGTAATATAGTAGTATAGTAGTCGTCGTCGTGACTTACTAGCTTCTTCGGTGATTCTCGCTTAGTTTTGTTTGGCCTACTTGGTCAATGACCGATCACACGTATGGATTGATTGGACCCCGGTCCGGACCGCAGAGCATGCTGGGCTCCTCGGAGCGATGCTCGATCTTAGTTTAGTTTAACCGGGAGAGTCTATAAGACATTGCGGCTTGCCAGCCGGACAATACGCCCGCCCAAACGGCTCGCTAGGCAGACTCGGACTCTGTCGCGATCGAGAGAGAGAGAGAGAGAGAGAGAGAGAGACTCGCACTTTGGCTCGAGCCACGAGTGGTCCAAGGTCCGAGCCCTGACTGAGAGAGGACCTCAACCCGGGCGATCCGAGAGAGAGAGCCGGCGCCTCATACGTGCGAGCCCCACTACTTGTGTGACACACTTTGCGTGTACTTGTACGGCGTTGACTAGCGCGAGTTCGGTGGCTTCGGTCCTGCACGGTGTCCTTGCGCCGCCCCTTCGGGACAAGCACGCCAACCTCATCGGGGCGATCGGCGGCCTACAGGGGGGCTTCCTGAACGGTCCGACCCGCCGCAAGACCTACGCTGGGCGGAGGAGAATCTCTACCCCTCGATCCGCCGCAAGACCCACGCTGGGCGGGGGATTACCTGTACGTCAAGATCGCGAGTTATCTGCAGAACGGGGACCTCGCAATCTACACCATGCTGCGAAGAGCCACTTTCGTGACCGAGCAGTTTTGGTGTTCCTTGATGTTTGCACCCGATGTGAGTGGAACTGTGAGAACGCCGTAGCACATGCATGAAGACAAATGCATGTCACGATCATGCAAAATTCGACTTGCTTCCCTCAATCCCTCAACTTTGCAGGACAGACTGTTTCCATTTACGGCCCGATTCGGTCGCAAACGAGATTGTTTCAGTGCCGATACAGTTCCGTTGCAATTTTGTTGCCACAAAGGGACTCAATTAGTTACCGCCATGACCCGCCTTGAAGTGTGCCGCATCTGCTCAAAAGCAGTAGATGGGCCGTGAATGAACGCATGTTTTTTCCCTTTGCTGGCCCCTACAACTAGACTGCAGTGGGTGTGAGCCTCGGGGGTGATCCATGTTATATGTTTGCGACTAATGCTCGGGGCAGTTGCGAGGCACACATCGTGCGAGTAGTCTTAGCCTTTCGCATGTAATACCATGCATCCCGTCAACAGCGGGCAGCCCCACGGCGGGGGCTCGCCCCTCATGCCTGGCGAAAGAAAGAGACTCGCACCTCCAAAGGGGGCCAACACCGCCCTCAATGTCCAGTGCGCACTCGTGCGCGAAGTAGGTTGACAGACCTGCTTCTGCTTCTGGCTGCGTGCAAGCAAGCAAGAGAAAGAGAGAGCTTTTTCCTTACCCCCTTTGCTGCTTCCTCCCGGGGACCCGCACTGACACAAACAGCGTAGAGCCACAAAACCAGTGTGACTAGGAAGAGCGCTGTGCTACAGCGGCCCTTGAACTGAGAACGTAGACTCGAACAGTGGTTTTTGCAGACCTAAGAACCCGGTAACACTCAGGGCGCGCAGTGGCAGTGTAGAATACCTACGGGCTTTTCGCACCAACTCACACGAGCTCAGCCAGGCGGGGACATGAAACGAGTAGTCATGGGCAGTCATGCTGTTTCGGGGACGGCGTTGCAACCGTGCCCGACCTGGCTGTGCACCTTACGTCTCACACGAGACTTGGACACAGGCGTAGCGCTCGCGCGCAGGGGGGCAGGGTTCCGCGCTCTGCTTCCCACACGCCGTGCAAGCAAGCAACAGAGAGAGAGAGAGAGAGAGCGCTAATTGTATTCAGGCCCAGGAGCGATGACACATGAGGGGAACGATGGCACACGCAGGCCTAGAACCCAGCCGTAGGAAACATGAAGGTCAGTACAAAGGACAGACAGTTGGGATGCGATACTTGTTCATCACAGCTGTTTCACTATATCCTTAGCCGAAAAAGTATCCCATCTGTAACGTCCGTAGACAGCCAACTGAAGTTTGGGGGAAATTACCCCAATCATGCGAGTACAGTTGTATAATCCTGGACATATGGGGGATGTGCAAACCAGTGATAGTGGTCTGTTATACAACATAATTTCTGTGTTGTTGTATCCTTTGTTTCCGGCAAGCACAGACCCCGGGGACTGCAATGAATCACGATGTCATGTGTGATTGGTGACTAACCCCGGTAGGGATTCCGTCATATATGTACGTAGTTGCTAACATTGTCAGAAACAGTCTAGAGTATGCTGGGGGAAAACCGTCACAAAGTTTTCACACCCCTCCAAAAGCCCCACAAACATCGGGGGGGCCTTTAAGGCCGAGGGGTCTCGCACTCCCCTCATGCCCCGGGGAAGAAGAGAGAGAGAGAGAGAGAGAGAGAGAGCACGCCACCAAACGGGCCGTCAAGGTTCAACTCCAACGGCTGGGCCTTTGGCCCCGGGGCGGCACTGGAAGGGGCTCAGCCTTTCGGCCCGACCTGGCACCACCAGACAAAACAACGAAGATCCCACAGGTGTCTCCAGAAGAGCGTGCATACCTTACCAGTCTGCTTAACAAACACCTGGAGCCCAGACAACCACCAATACCACAACAACCACCACCACAGCCACCGCAGCAGACCACACCACGGCGCCCACAGCAGGATACCACTCCCTCCCAAGAGGCCGTGCAGCAACAAGCTGGCCGTCCCCAACCACCCAGAAAGGAGCCACCAGCCAGGCCGCCACCACACCTGCAGCAGCCCAACACCCCGGCAGCAGCAGCGCAACCGCCACCGCAGCGAGAGCAGAGTGGGACGCAACCCTCCGCAGGCTCACAGCCTCCACAACAGTCGCCGGAGGAGAACCACCCCCCCCCACCATGGGACCTACCACCAGAGCAGCCACCTACCGAACGCGCCAGCAGTTCCACTGACAGGCCAAGTCACCACCCCATGCCCCTCCAACCACCACGCTACCCGGGGCGAGTCACACCATCAATCAACAGACCCACCATACCCACTAACAAGTGGGCCATCGGCCGAATCATAGCAGAAGAGGCCGGTACGCCGCAAGCTCCCCCATGGTGGCTGGTGAACATTGAGAACAACCCCCGATCGAGCACGAGCTGGAAGCTCTTAGAACAGAGGTGGAGCCACTACGCACAATCCCGCCGGGGATCACTGCCACCCAAGCCCCCCCGATTTCCATTGGCACCACCCTGAGCCTCACCAGACCAGATCCCAACATGTATGTGGCAGAGGTCATCTCAGCCCCGGCCCCGGGGCATTACGAGTTCAACGCGGCAATCCTCTGTGTGGGAGACGTCCTCACATTTACCTGGATAGAAGGCGAATGGACCCTAGACGTCCACCTCAACGAGGAAGCCAGCTGCGAAGACCAGGCAGACACCAGTGCCACCACAGCAGATGACATCCAAGCTGAAGCCAGCCCCAGCAGCGGGGCGGAGACCCCTCAAGCACCACACCAACCACCACACAGCGAGGACGACCACACGTCAACAGCCACCGCGGCGAGCGCCGCCACCACAGCAGCAGCAGCGGCAACAGCAGACACGACCGGCACAGGCCCACAAACCGTGGCGACGCACATGCCTGCGACCGCACATCCACTTAGCGACGGCAGAACGCTCCGCCGAAGCCAAGCTGCAGCTGACCGCCCTCAACCAGAGCAGCCCTCTTCAAGCACAGCAAGCCCCGCACCACCACAGACAGGATTGTTAGGCATCCTGCAAGATGGGCGCCCTCTTGGCAACCGCCTTACGCTGCAGCCACTACCACCCACCACAACCACCTCCACCACCACCACAGACTCTACAGAAGCACCTGACCAGCATAGCCTCATGCAAAGACCGGGGCGACCATCATCTTCTAGCTCGAGTGGAGGGCACAGACCGGACCTGAACCAGGTCATTAGCACACTTCGCAGCCTCTTGTTCGAGACAGCCGGAGGGGAAGTGCATGCAGTTACATACCATGTGGTCATACTGCTCAACATGCTGACTACGTGGAGACAACAGCAGGACCGTCCTTGCAGCAGCAGCGAATCCTCACCTACCAAGAAACTGCGGGGCATCACCAGCCTATTCCGAGAAGCAGCAGCAAATCTGCTCTCACTAGCCACAGTGGGAGAACACACCCACCTTACACAGGACATGATACTGCAGCAGCTGGCTCGCACCCTCTACTTACTCACCACAGCCATGGAATCCAACCCCGGGGTATTCCAAAGCAGGGCCAGTACTCGACTTGCAGCAGCACGGGGCGTACACCATATAGTCAACAACGCCTACAGTAGGGTAGATGCGGTAGGAGTGCATGGCCTCCTTGAACTCCAGAACGACCTCATGGTAGGGTCGCGGCTGGCCACTGTGGCAGAAGGCGAAGACACCTGGAACGAGGACAGAGTGCACGCCGCCGACGTCATCACCATGAACACAGGAGGGGCGGAAACCACCGCACCGTTCCACACCCACGCCGTGACGCTGGAGCAAGCCACACAGAACTTGGCGGCAGTTCGGGGATTCCTGCAGGTCGACGCGTACCGCTTATGCGGGGCGGCCCTTACAGAGGTACTGCACTGGTACCACGGAGGCGCGGTCCCTGCCCCAGACAGCCAGGAACCAGGGGCGACAGGGTCAGAGGAATGGCCAACCACTGGGGCGGCAGCCCCAACACAGTACGATGACCCAGGAGATGAAGAACGCGAAGCACAACGAGACCTAGAACTACAACGACAATACGAACGGGGCAAGGCGGAGCAGGAAGCCGCACACGACCTCAGCGATGACGAGGCCACAGTGATCCTAGCGCAGCAATGGGAAGGGGGGGCAGATCCGTCGCCAGACTTCGGGGCGACAACGTACCAGGAGATGGCAGCACTGCAAGCCACCGAGAGTGCTGCCGCGCAAGCCGAAGCGGAGCGAGAGGAAGCAGAGGTCGAGGCGAGAGCGGAATACCAGATGGACACGGGGCGGAGACGTGTCACCTCGAGCCCTACTGATCGCCCTACGCCAAAGAGCTCACCTGAACCCGACAGCAGTGATTAACCCCAAACGGGGCGTAGCTACCGGGGCGACTCAGTGAAACCCGCCCGTACAACTACAAACCCACTGGGCACTGCACGTCCTGTGATACTGCATCAGTCCCCCAGGCCCTTGTTGATTCCACCGAAAGTGCAGAAGCCCAGCCACCTAGGGACTTCAAACCTCGCCAGTACTGTGATGTTACAAAGATCTCAGGCCACTTGTGTGTGTTGCAGTGTTGTCGGGGCGAGAGTCCACATGCATCCCACCCGAGGCAAGCTAAGGGAGACCCAGTCTTTCGGGCCCTTTGTGTTTCAGTAACCGGTAGCCTACTCCACTACAACGAATGGGCCCCACAGCTAGCCGTGCAGTCTGTAGCGAGTCAGGCCTGTCGCCATGCAACCCCAAATAAGGAAACTGCCAGAAGTGTCAAGCCTAACATCGGAGTGTCCTCCACTTGTTACATGCACTGATTTGGGGAGTGAGGCGGGGCGGAACAACTGCCCAGGTTGCTCGCAAGTTACGAACACACCCGAGAACCTAGCATGTACATCATACTCGTTCAGTTCGTACTACAGCCGGGGTGTCGTAACTCTAGTTCGCCGCATGTAATACCATGCGTACCGCCAACAACGGGCGGCCCCCAAGGGCGGGGGTTCGCCTCCCTAGCCTGGCGAAAGAAAGAGAGAGAGAGAGAGAGAGAGAGTCGTCGTCGTCTCCCAGTAGTCACGTCGTTATCACCTTGAGCCCAAGATTCATTCTCAGGTTTGTGCACGCAGTGGCGAGATCAGCCGGGCCGAGCCGCTGCTGAAGGAGCCGGGAGTCGTTGATCCCATAAAAACACAACTTGACTCAGACTGTTCGTGCAGCGACGCTTATGCAATGAACGAGTACCTGGAAGAGCTTGGCAGCCGGGCAAGGCTGGAGGGTGGCGTGCACCCTAGAAATCCTGACAGTAGCCGATAGTAGCCACAAGTCTGTACGACTCGTTACAAGCTGCCATTCCGCTTAAGTTGCGGACTCGCAAGTAGCATCACCACTCAAATGCAGGACATGGCAGATCAGGGAGTGCCTCCCAACATCATCACCTACGGCACAGCTTCTTGCACGAAAACTTACGGGTGAATTGGATTGTTCGTTCCGAAAGACACAAGGCAGCCCTGTAAATGAGTCGGGCCGGCTGGGGCAACGGCCGAAAGCTCACGAACCGCTGCAAGTCATCGTTTCGTCTGGTCAGGTGATTAAGGCGTACTGCTCGGCCAATCGTCTGGACCAGGCAGGGGCTGAGAAGAAGGCTAGGAGAAGTAGCCGTGATCGTAATAGCCTGCCATAGACCACTGTATGGACTTTGTCTTTGCGCATTTTGCACGGAGGCCTATCTGAATGTGTTTCTTGCTGCCAGTTTCGATTCCAAGTCCCATTTTGGTGACTGCACCCCACAGTGGTACCCGTGTCGTTAAGCAGGTGTATCCGGCCTTGCAGCAGGGGGCTGTTGCCATGGACCCGCTTTGATTTCTCAAACAACCTGAGTAGGTAATTCAACATGCTGACGATGGGCTTCAGGATTTCGGAAGTGTTTGCGAGTTGATCTAAGATCGAGCAATAAGGGTCGGGGTGTCCAGCGATCATCATGTGAGTGAAGGTAAATGCAACCTCGATGGCCAACAGTAGCAACTACACGCGCTAGGTTTAAGTCGTCCCTGCCGGGGCGAAGTCGTCCCAACTCCATGTGCCGCAGGGTTTGGTCTAGTTTTCCATACCCCTAACATATCTTGTTTCCAATCCAGTCTTTAGTTTCTGCGCGATCCAGGACTGTGCGCGGTCTTTCCTTGATCTTGGATGTGTTGTGATGCCACTTGTGTCTCGAGTTGGTGCTTGCGTAATCGAGCATCTAGAAGGGGAATGGCGGGTTTTGATTTGCTGTCTGCTGCGATGCCACTGGTGCGTTTCTCCTGTGTATTCTTGCTGCGAATGAGGCTTCCTAACCCACAGTGCGCAGGGCACACAGCATTTTAAGTACAAGCCGCGAACACTGCCGAAATGGGTGTGCCCTTGCGGAATGGCTATAGTTTAACTGTTGTTGGGCTGACATCACCCCGCTGGGGTGACTTCACTCCCACGCCGTGTGCCGCGGGCTTGGGGCGACTTTACGCCAGCTGGGGCGACTTAACTCTAGTGCTAGTAGCATGGATGGATATACTGCACGTCCTGCTCCCCATTCCCACATGCCCGGAAATATTCAACGAAACTCATAGTGGTACTTTGGAATAGCCACAGTACCAATACCAGGAGATACAGTGACGCTATCCCGCAAGTGGCATGGTCATGTCCTACCCATCATGACATGACAGCAGGTCCAGGCATTTTCTTCTCTGTTTTGGAGTTTGGAGCTTTTATGGTTGAGGGTACTTCCATTATGTGAAGGCTTTAGGGCTGGTACCCGGTTTAAACTCTTTCAGGGGATTGCGAGTTTTTGTTTTCATGTCTTAGCTTTAGGCACCGATGAGTGCCCCAGGGTTCGATTCAAGGCCTTCGGCTTGGCGCTCTCGATTTGGTTTGGGGCTTGGCATTTCTAGATATGCTGCTTAAGCTTATCACTGGACAACTTGGGCAGGGCTAGAAGGGTGCTCGGGCTGAGCCGGGGTACGAAGGCAGGATTTGTTCTCTCGAGAGTGGGGCTCTGCCTGAACATTCAGATTCCGCCTCAGTGTCTGAGAGGCTTTCGCTGTCCTGGAGGAGATGCAGAAAAACACCTCGCACCACACCTAAGCGACAAGTTTTGCATAGGCAGGTAGAAGAAGCGGATTTGGGTCGAAGCTCTTCGCCCAGGCTCCATCCAGATGAGGTTACCTACAACACACTTCTCGATGGCTGTGCCCGCTATGGACTTTTCGATCGCGGCCTGGACAGGGTTGATCGAAGCATGTGCGTTGAGCAATTCTAAAGATTGGTGGGGCTATTTGGCATTTGTGCTTGCAGCTACTGGTGTGCGCAGGAAGTGCTTGCCGACATGCGAAGGGCTGGTGTACCTCCAAGCAATTACACGCTCTCCGTGATTGCTAAGCTCGCGAACCGCAGCAAGAAGCCAAAGAAGGCGTTCGAGATGGTGGACACCTTGCGGAAAGAGTTTGGACTCAAGCTGAACATGCATGTCTACAACAACCTCATCCACGCAGCTACTTGCGATAGCAACATGATGAAAGCGCAAGAAGTCTTCGACACTATGCTTGACGAGCGAGTTCGACCAGACGGACGTACCTACACTTTGCTGCTCAGGTTTTGCATCACACAAAAGGCAGCGGTGCCTGCGACAGCACTGCTCAGGACGGCGTTTGGATTGAAGCACCAGAAGGATGATCTAGTGAAGACCGGCAGCGAAGATTCTTTGCACCCTCTACTGGTCAAAGCTCTTCTGCGCTCCTGCCACTGGGCAGCTGCACCCCTCCGCGGCAATTCTGCTTTGCAGGAAGAAGTCATTCAGGACACCTTCGACTTCCTGTCGCGCAGCCTCGATTCATCCGGTGTGCCCAAGCTTCTGTCAGATGTACAGAAGTCGCTGCCTTCGTTGAAGCTCCCGAAGTCCACGACGAGCAGAATCTTTGCTAAGCCCTGATTGCCATGACGAATGACGGAAGGAGCAAGTGCTTGGGAGCAGAGGCTCAGATGTGCCAGTTGCTGTCAAGAAAAGCTCCCGTGCGTGCTGCGGTGTTACACTGGTTGAGCGTTTCATTATCCATTTCACTCGCATGCGCTTACACCTGATGTGGAACAGCGCCACCAGGTTTTCAGCGATGGTGCGATAGGTGTCCCGCAGGCATCCTCAGCCTTCGTGAGTGCACAGTGTCGGCACGACTTGAGCCACTGGGGCACTTGCATCCATGTTCTCTATCCGAAGTGCAGGAGCCAATGCTGGCCAAACATTGGCTGTTAGCGGCTGCTGCTCATGGTCACAAGGAGCTGTGAAGTTGTCGTGGGATGCCCTCGACAGAGACAGAGTGAGGCCAGAGAGAGCTGGGATCGTTCAGATCTGCAGAATACTTTTCCTTTTCCTTTGCTTCGCTCTGCACCTTCGGCAAAGGCAATGCTCTGGTCCTCTCTCCTGCGTACGGTTCTCTGTTCACCAGGAGGCATTGGACCGGGTGAATTGGGGAGCAACCCTGCGCCCACCCGTGGAGAGACGGCCTTAATCTCAGGTCAACCGCTGATGTTAGTGATGCCTCACTGCAGCGTCACTACAGCCCCTACACTCTCGATGGCCGTTCAAGTTCTAAGGTGGCTCCATGTGATGGAAACATGGGGCTGGATTTGACTGCATCGCAGAAAGCAAGTTGGCGTCTGCACCGGTAACATCAGACACGTTCGTAGGCTTTTGGATGTTCACTCTCAGCAGGCATGTGCCTTCCGATTGTTTCGACATGATGGTTCGAGGCGCTGATGAAGAGCATGTTGACGTACAGATCCACGTCCATCACGTCGGGTAAGATCCAGACCGTTTTGGTACAACTTGTTTTTGTCTAGCCTTGAAGCGGTCAACTACTGACACGAGTACACAAGAATCAGCATGAAGCCAGTCGTGTCGGACCGCATGAATGTGAAGCGTACATTACTGCCCCATGTTCGCTGACATCTTCCTGCACACTGGGTGATGGGGCAAGCCTCGCTTGCAACCTTCTATGCTCCCTGTCTGCAGTGTCTGAAAGCTCCATTCGACAAGGGCAGGCGTATCCTTGTTCCAGACCCACATTCTCATGATGCTCAGCTCGTTCAAGCTGAGCAACGTCAACAGCCGATCATAGCCGATCAGTCGAGCAGAATTTGGCTTCAGCTTGTTGGACAGCCTCGATAGGTTGTGTTCGCCATCCTCACCATCTTCTTGAACACCGAGCCATTGCCCCAGTTACGTCGAAGTGTGCATGGGCAGTTTGCTTTACGGATGTGTTTGTTATTGTTCACTTCTTCATCAGGTTCATCGGTACCTGGAATGCGAATGCCATTTATCGAACGGTTTCCACGGCCTGAAGCTTGGAACGCTGTTGTTTTCCATCTGCATCGCTGCTGGATGATCATGATGATGGCAATACCCGCCGCTGGAATGACATTATCGAAGCTGCTTGCTGGGATGCGATGCACATAATGCTGATGATCATGGTGATGATGACAACAACGAGGAAGACGACGACGATAACAATGACGGTGACGACGACGACACCGATGACGATCACGACGACGATGATGACGATGATGATGAACCGCATGTTCACTGCAGACGACGCTCAGCTTTCGGGTCAAGCGCATGTCTCGTGACTTCGCTTTGTCCTCGGTCTCCGGTGTGTCTTCTGCCTCGGTCGTGTCTCTCTTGAGCCACCTCCTCTCTGCGTCTTCTCCACCGGTGTTCGACCACTGTCCTTTGTGCCCTGCTCTCCCTGAGGTCGATTGGGCTTCTTTCTTTTTGGGTCTGGGGTGCGGGGTCCTGTTGCTTCCCGTCCTTGAGGCCCTGCTGCTCTTTCGTGCGGCCGTGCTTCGGTCCCTGGCCATCCGGTTGCAAGGGCCCGGCTTTTTCCGCCTGATCCCTAACCCCTAGATTGGGTTTAGGACCTCCCTTAGCCCGCCGCGGGCTGGACTTGCCCTCCTGGACCCTAGGCCCCTGTGGTTTAGGCCTCTAGGCCCCTAAGTGCGTTTGAGCGCGGCCGCGCTCCCTTGCCCCTAGGGTTTTCGGGTTTAGGCCCCGGTTGATGCAGGCTCGCGTTGAGCGCCTTGAGCTTTTGGTTGAGCAGCTTCAAAGCGAGGTGCGAGCCCTTAGGGCGATCATAGGTGTGGGCGCGGAAGATTTTGAGGTCATCCCGGCCGTGGCTGCCAGCTCGGCGGGACCTGCCCGATCCGAGCCGCGCACTCCTGAACGTGCTCCAGCGACTTCTTGGAACCCCTTGCCGGCCTCCGGGCCCGAAGACCAGCCGCTAGAGCGAGCTGGCAGCGCATCTTTGCCGCGCACGGAGCGTGACAGTGCGTGTCGTGAGATTGGATTGTGGATCACCAGGAACCTCCGTGGTGAACACAGGGGCGCTTCAGGTAGGGACAGGATCCAGCAGGCCTCTCGCTACTGGGTGGTCTTCCGCGACTTTGAGGGTCGCGACGTCTCCCCTCCATCTGCCTACTCCTCGTTTGGGGCGGCCAAGGCGGTGTGCAAGCGCGGCGCCGAGTGTGGGCGCAGCGTCTTCATTGGACTTCCGGCCAGGGCCGACGTTGAGGCCGTGTGCTCGGCCGCGGGGTTTCCGTCGGTGACTTATCAGTGATATGGGCGAGGAGGAGGAGGACGTTGACGGCGCAGTTCTTGAACCGCGGGACTTTGCCGTTTGTCAGCCGGAGGGCACCGACGCTCACTACCTTGTGGGCTTGCTCCCTTTAGCCGGCGAGCCCGCGCAGGCTGCAAGCGGATCATGCGAGGCTATCGTTGTAGCAGAGCAAGATGGCCGGTTGGTGATAGGCGTCCCAGCAGCTGCTTGGGCCCGCAAGGTTGCATCCAGAAGGCTTCCCAGGTCAGGCCTCACCAAGGTTTCGTCGGTGGAGGTGGCTGCCGTTTCAACCGAGGAGCGGGAGCTTCTTCTCGAAGGCTCAGTGGTGCGGCTCTGGGTCGGGCTCCTAGACCCGAGTCTTGTCTCGGGCCTTGCTTTCGAGTCGGGCGACACGGCCGAGCTTACCTTTGCACAGGACAGCCAAGGCATATCGCTTCTTCCGCATGCCGCCTCGCTGGTTGCCGCTGTGGAGAGCCTTCCGGCTTTGAGTCAGTTTGCTTCTGCGGATTCGGCGGCCGGGGCCGAAGGCGCTTCGAACGTTGGTGCCCGGGTGGATCGCTTGGAGGCCGCTATGTCCAAGGTGGCAGCCGGTGTCAAGGCCTTGTTGGCCAAACAGGAGGCCTCGGAAGCAGAAGTGCCTCTGCCGGCTTCAAGGGCAGCGCGTGCCAAGCCCTCCCCAAACCCAGGCGCGGGGGCTGGCATCGGCTTTGCTCACTTGGACGCTGGTGTTTCGCAGGCGGCTTTGGACGCCGGAGTCTCCAGGAAGACCCTGGCGGAGGTCGATCGCCTTGTCGGCGGCAGTGGTGGTCTGCCCTCGCGTGGGCAGCTGGAGGCGGAGGAGCCCGCTCCCCTGCCAGACGGCAAGCCGCAGGATCAGGTGGGGCAGGCGCTTGTGAAGCTGACGCAGTTGGTGGAGACCTTGGCGGCGCCCAAGAAACGGCAGCCGTCTACTTTAGACGGCCTCTTGGATGCGGCGGGGCCCGCCGGCTCTGGATCTCAAGATGGAGGCCCCAGCTTGAGGAGGAATGTGGCCGCACGCCGCGCTCTGAGGGCCGCCCTGGTGGAGAACCCTTCTCTGTTGTCGGCGACGGTGGAGGGCTTGATGCGAGAAGACTTGCGCAGCATGTCGACCCCGGGCTTCGAGGTGACGCCCAGCGCGAGGGCTTGGCTGGAGCACCGCAGCCGGATCGGACCGCATCAGACGCTGGCTCGGTCGGCTTGGGCCGTGGGGGCGTTAGACGCAGCTCGCCGAAAGAACTTCGAAGAGTGCGAGGCCAGGCTCAATATCTTGATGGTGTGCATGGACCAGGTCGCGACGGACCGCGGGTCGTGGACCTTAGCCTCCGAGCTGACGTTGGAGAGCCCTTGCCCCCTTCACGCCTTCAAAGCTCACGAAAACAGGGATCGCGACAGCGAACAGGTGTGGTCTCGCATCCTCGACGGCCGGTGGGCGGAGGTGGCTTTGCATCACTTGCGCGACCAGTCCGACTTCTTGGAAAAGAGGGCCAAGCTGGGCCGCCGTGCCCAGCAGCAGGTGGAGGAGGAGGACCGCGACGCCGGCCGGGCGGAGGCGAAGGCAAAAGCCAAGGCCGGAAACAAGCGGCGACAGGAGGAGGACAAGTGACTTTGCCAGACGACCGGAAGCGCGCTGTCCCTGGCAGTGGTGCTCCCTCTGTGAATGTGCCCGGCTTCTGGAATTCATTGCCGTCCTGGATTTTGAAGGGGCGTGCCACTTTTGCTGCATATCTTCGCACCACGCTTTCGGCCGACAACGCACCGGCCCACACGTCCCGCCTTTGGCCTTGCCCTGTGCCCTATCCCGAGGTGTTTTCTCGTGGACCTCGGGGACCGCGCGGCTGGCGTAAGGTGCAGGTTTCCTTAGTGATCTTGCTCCTTTCATGGCTGCACCTTGGATGTCCCGCCGAGTCTCCGCCCGGGTGCCGGCTCGGAGCCCGACTGTCTGCCCAACAATGGCGGGTGGTTCGTACCATAGAGGGCCTGACTTGGGATAGTGATTTTTCTGTGACAATTGACGCCTCTGAGATGGGGCGTGCCGCTTCCAAAGTGGAGGACCAACATCGCCTCCTTGCCGCCTTGTCTCGGGCTGCTGCGTCCTTTTGTTCTTTCGGTTACACTCATGTCTCCAGCGCCACCTTTAAGGCACCACGGGCTGCAGGAGCTAATCCTTGTTTCGATGATTCGGGGCCTCGCTTTGGCAAGGTCGTCGGCCGAATGGACAGAGGGGATGTCATCGCAGCCAAAACCATCGAGGCTGACAGGTTGACTTTTCCTGGGCCGCCCGTTTTCGATCCGAGCCCCTTTGTGGACTTCAATACCAGGCGGCGTTTCGAGAATCCTTCGGCCTTTGGCGCTGCGCCTGACCCTGTGGCTTTTCCTCCACCGACTGTGCGAGTCTTGGCGAGCAAGGGGGAGCGGCTGGCTTTGTATCGCAAACTTGCGTTGTCAGGGCGGCTCCTTCCGGTCGTTCCCGACCCCGCTCGTGTGCCGTACTCCGGCGGCATTTTCTCCGTGGTGAAGGACCTGCAGCGGGATCGCTTGATACTGGACTGCCGTCCAGCTAACACTTTGGAGAAACCGGTTGCTCGATGGACCTGTTCCTTAGCTGGTCCCGAATGTCTCCTTCAGGTTGTCCTCCGAGACAACGAGAGCTTGCGAGTTTCTTCGGCAGATCTGCGGGATTACTTTTATCTTTTTGCTGTGACTCCTGATCGATTGCAGCGAAATTTGGTGAGAGGCCACGTGTCCAAAGCCGAAGCCCGATGGATTTTCGACCGCGACTGTGCTGAGTTTGCTGACGCCCGTGGACGCATCCGCGTCGCCATTGCCACTTTGGGCATGGGCGATTGCTGTGCATGTGAGTACGCTCAAGCCTCGCACATAGCTGTGCTCCGACACTTCGGGCTCCTGAAGGGTCGCGACCTGCTTCTTCCTGGACACCCCGTGCCTCGCGGCTTGCTTTCGGTCGGAGTCGTCAGTGACGATTTGGTGCTGCTCGAGAGGTGTGTTCGCGGTTGCGGCGAGGGCCGGGCTGACACCCTTGGGGTTCGGAGGCTCGACGCGATTCATTCACGCGTTTGGCCAGTTGCTTTGATCACTGCCAGGGTGGCTTCGCTTGGCTTGGTCTCCAGGTCGTTGTTGGAGAGCTTGGTCGGATCCTGGACCGCGATCTTCTTGATTCGGCGGAGGACTCTCTCGTTGATTGATGTGGCCTTCGAAGCTTTGCGGGTCACGGTTCCCGGGGATGTCATTCGGCTCTCCGGCGCTTTGGTCGATGAGCTGTGGTCGTGGGTCCTCGTGGCTCCTCTTTGCGTGGCCAACCTGCGGGCCCGGGTGTGTGACACTTTCTTCACCACCGACGCCTCCGACGACAGGATAGCTTGTGCTGTCGCTGAGCTCCCGCCGGCCGTGGCTGCCGAGTGCTACCGACACACGCTGGTCAAAGGTGCTTGGAGCCGCCTGTTGCCGCCCACCCAAGCCTGGCTTCGCTCCAAGGGTCTGCTCCCTGAGTCCGCCGAGCTCCCGGGCGACACTGCCTACACTCCTTTTCCTTTGTGGCGTGAGCTTGCGTGCTGCCTCCAGTTTGGCACAAGCTGGGTGCTCCCTGCCTCACCTGGGCAGCACATCAACCTGAAGGAGCTTCGCGGCATCTTGGAACTCGAGCGTCGCGTCGCCGGTTCTTCGACCAGCTTGCGGTTGCTGCTTGGGGTGGACTCTCAGGTGGCCTTAGGTGCTGTGCTCAAGGGCAGGTCAGCTTCAAAAGGCCTCAACTCGTTGCTTCGCAGATCGTTGGCTACTTGTCTGGGGAGTGATCTCTACCTTGGCCTTGCCTTCCTCGCCTCTCCGGACAATCCGTCCGATGACGGGACGCGCCGTCGTGACATCAGGGCGCCCAGCCGTTCGGTTCCGCCCTGGTTTTGGGCTTTAGCTCGGGGAGACGTCGCCCCCTTTGAGCGGTGGCTGCAGCAGCAGCCCGAGGTGAAAGCACAACGCGACCAAGAGGACCTCCTCCCCGAGGATGTCGATGCACTGCCGTGTGTTGCTTCGGAAGAAGTGTGGGCTGAGAGGCCTTGTCTTGGGCCCCGGCCTCCTCCTAGCGCTCTGGGGTTCCGCTCCGGCCGTGCTCTGAGGGCTCGCAAAAATCGGGCTCGCCGCGTGGGAGCCTCCGTTGGATTTGCTCGTCCCGCTCCCTTGCCTGTCGACGCCACTTCGTTCTGCGCTTTGGCTGCGTTGGCCGGCATCCCTCGGGAGCAGTTCTTTCCCTCGGCCGGTGCCTTGGACTTCTCTCAAAGAGGTGCGCTCGATCTCTTCAGCGGTGAGGCTGGTGTCGCTCGTTCTCTGGTCAAGTGGCTTGCCTTGGGTCCTCACGTTTGAGATCCGGCGGGGTCCCCTCGAGGATCTCGACAACCCCCGAGTTCAGAAGCTTTTGGATTTGCTCGTGCGAGCTCAGATTTTCCTTTCTTTTGGCGCCGCACCGCCGTGTTCTTCTCTTTCTCGGGCCGTGCACCCTGCCTGGCGCTCTCGCGAGTTCCCGCTAGGCTTGCCGCATTTGAGCCCAGTGGCGTTTCGCAAGGTGACACTCGCCAACAGCCAGGCGCTCTGGGTGCTGTCCCTGCTGCAAGTGTTCTTGGACTGTTGTCGGGGCCATTTTTAGGTCGAGAATCCTGATGGTTCGTTCCTGTGGCTTCCGGGATTCGAAAAGTTCAAGGAGCCGGGTTCGCCTTCTGTCTTCAGACTCGACCAGTGTCGTTTTGGCACTCGCTGGCGCAAAAGGACCCGGTTCGCCGTTGGCCCTGACTCCGCCCTTGCTAGCGCTAGACTTTTCTGCAAGTGCTCCGGCCCGCACCTGGTCTTGCGGGGCCGCTCGCGGCCTGACCGTCGACCGTGGACTGCCGTTGCTCAGGCCGTGGCTTGTGGGTGGTCGGCCCCTGCACACCGTGTGAACCAAGTGCCGCTCTCGGCCTGCCTCGCTGGGAGCTCTTGTGCCCGCCTGGGTGAGGCCGACCATCCGGCCCTCGTCGCCCACGCCAGCCCCGTGACTCTCCTTTTGGACTTGAAGACCGACCTTTGCAGAGCAGCGCCGCTCTGCTGCAGGGCCAGAGGGGGTGGGAAGCTTTTCTCTCCTGGCTCAAGACTCTGGCTCGAGACTTTCAGTGCCGTCGTGGCCGTTTAGCCTTGAGGCTCACTTTGCTAGAGGTCCCTACCAGGCCCCAAACTGCGAACCTTAAAGGTCGTAGGCTGGCTGTCCAGCAAGGGTCGTGCGGGGTAGCGGTCTCTTTGCAACCAGTCTTTGGACTTGGTGCCCTTTGCTGGTGTTACCAGCTTACTGGTGCAACCAGTAGGCTTTTTCGCCAGCTGCCGGGTACCTGGTGTTGCCAGGGTGTGGGCTTCTCAGTGCCATGCCCTCCAATAACAACTACACGGCATGTGCCCAATGTGGAGTGGGCTGGGTGTGGAAATCGGAAAAGGCCTGGTACCCATGCTGTTGGCATTGTGGTGCTGCCTGGCCAGGACCCTACACACCACCGAGCCAGCCACAGAGGTCCCAGAACCCCGCGCGCAACAGCCAAGAGGACTGGAAAAAGTGGCAAGCCTGGGCTCACCAGGCCATGCAGAAAGAGCAGAGCTGGTGGGAACCAGCGTGGCAGCCAACGCGCAAGCCGAAGAAGCAGGTGGACTATCCGCCAGGACTGGGATGGACCGGTGCTCAGATGACTCCCCAGGAGTACGAGGATGCCGTTGCCAGTCTGTGGCAGGATGCAGACCCGCAAGCCCAGAAGGTTCTTCGAGCGTGTGGCATCGAGCCACCGACAGAGGACAAGAGTGATGACCCAAGGGTCACGCTGCAGAAGTACCTCTCGGCGTACAAGTCGATCACCCAGGATCACAGAAACCTGGTGGAGCGCAAAGTGCGGCTGCAAGCGCGAGCTGACAAGATCAAAGGCCAGTTCGAAAAAGCCCTCAAAGAATTGGCAGACGTTTCCAAGGCCATCGAGAAGGCGGAGGACAGCCTGGGGAAGGTGCAGACCCAGGTGCAGGAGCAACTCAAGAATGCCGAGCCGCCCGAAGCCAAGGAAGTTCACGATCTCCAGGGCCTGTTGAAGGTTGCTGGGGTCGAGTTGTCTGCCACACAAGAAGGGGCCTTGTCGGCTTACTTGCAAACGAGGAAGGAGGAGAGGGAGCTTGACATGGACGAGGATGAAGGCGACGATCCGCTAGGAAACCTTGGGTCCTTTGTTCCTTTGACCTCAAACTCCTTCAACACCAACTCAGGTTCCCCATGGGCGGCAAGAGAGTTTGGGCCCATGAAGCCCAGGAGGGTTCGCAGCAACCCACTCTAACGCAATGACGGGGAAAAAGAGGAGGATTGAGGCTCGGGGCAGGGGGCCTTGCTAGGTTGGTGGGTGCCACGGTGCCTTCCTGGTTGGGTTCCCCAATCAAGCCCTTTCCCGATACCATGGAAAATTTTGCATCATCAGAGCCAGAGCCCCACGACCATTTTGGTTGAAGTGGGATCCTTTTTAACCAAGCAGAAGCTGGTGCCACCCAGCGAGGAGGCAAACCAGCAGCGGCAGTTTTGTGAGTTGTGCTGTCAGCCCACGGACC